GCGCCACACCCAATGCTTGTTCAAGCAAAGGAAGTCACACACACACACAGACAAGGCTGTTTTTTTTATTTTACCCCAGAAAAGTCTCGGCTGAGCCGAGTTTCTAGGAGTATTCCTGATTGTTTGGCATGTGTGGCAAATGTTCTTTATGTATATATTTTGTTTCTCAAGTATTGCAGCTCGGCGTGGGAGAGTACTCGGAGCCACCGGCAGAGAACCTACACTCGCCAAGACGGAGGAAGAGACCAACACTCGCCAACAAGCCGCACAAGATACACCCGCGAGCTACGTGCTGTGCTGTCTCACCAGGGCGATAATCTCAGCGCGCGAGCCACCAACCGCGCGCCCCCAACTCCCCGATGGAACGGAACGCGTCCCCCACTGCGGAGGAGATGGAGCGATGAAATCTGTTACGTGGGGGTTATTACCATCGCACGATAGCGAGGGACGGTAGCGGCTTGGGGGGGGGCCTTCATCCAGCAGTGGTTTGAACGTGGCCGACGCCGACGAGTGTCGTGAGATGCGACAGCATCTTGGACGCTCCGTGAACCGCTGTTATTATTGCTGCGAAGCTTAACATTGAAACCATAACCCTCGTGCGTGTTGCACGATGCCCTTCTGGGGAAGCGCTAACGTGAGATGGCGGGATGACGATGATGTAAACGTGGACCCTTTGGAGGGTGTCTCTAGACGAGCTGTGGGTTTTCTAGCATCGGCAAGGAAGCGATGGCGAAGGTGAGGCGTTCCGGTTCAACGTTGCCAACTGAGCGACCACCTCTCCGGCTCGGGGCCATTCGTTTTTGACCGGTGTCTGCCACTCTCATTCGACACGGGGGCATCTTTGTCTCCTACCCATGGGACGCGATGCGGGTGGGCGATGGGCAGCGACATCAACATCTAATCGCGGTTTACCCCTCGATTAGCGAAGAGTTGCGGTTTTAGGGAATCCCGCGTTGACGCAGATTTGCGATATCGCGGAAGGCCTTTCGATGGACGAAATCTGGAATTTCCACCGGTCGACGAAGTTTTCGCTACAGTGGGGGGGTTGGTGGGGGGGGGGGGGCGTAGCGTCGCTAGCCACCTGCGACAGTGTCACGCTGTGCCCCCCCGCAGCTCCACACAGTAAACGCCTCCACATCACCGCTCCCCAGTCATTCACACAACATGCGGCAGATCCTTTTGGCGAGTTCCCTGAAAAATGTTAATAATTATTCTTGTATTGTTAAAATCGCTTTCAAATACATTCTTCATTATTCTTTTTGTATTATGGGAAGTGACATAGGTGCATATAGATTTAAGGTTAGGAGTTGAGTTAGAAGGACCGCCCGAATTTAATGGGAAAAAGCCATCCCCCCCTCCCCCCCGATTCACGAAATGTCATTGATTTTTTGAAGAACGCATGTCCCCCCTTTTCGTGACTCGAAGCGATACCTGCCAACTGCTCTGACGATCCACGACACAGGCGAAAACCAGCACAACGGTGGCGAGACGTTAACCACCTCGCCCAACATACAGGTCGTGGGTTCGATCCCGACCCCGACGCATGCCTGTTGTATATTTGGAGTTTGCGGTGTCTCTCCCTCCGCGTGGCCGTGTGAATTTTTCTCCGGGTCCTCCGGCTTTTTCACCTCCACGCTTAGCATCGACATCGCACGTTTGAGAGTATTTCACACCACGTAATTAAGCCACTTCCTTGAGCTATCATTTGTGATGGCCAGGGTCGCTTCTGAAAAAGAGCTATTATAGCTCAGTTGGGGCCCTTACCTGGTAAAAAAAAACTAATTTGACTGTATGCCTTAACTTAGCTATTTCAATGCTAAATTCTATGCTAATTCCTTTAACAATGGGTGCCTCTGCGGATGTGTATGCTTTAACTTTTAACATAGCTATTTCTGTGACCAGTCACAAGCTAATCATTCAGCCATTTCAATGCTAAATTATATGCTAATTCCTTTGTCAAGGCACTTTGTTCCTCTCACACAGCTTAAAGGCCGTGATCTGAACGTGGCTCTTTCACTCCAGCGCTGTCCTACCAGACAGTCTCGCCCCCCTTCACCTGATGAAGGCCGCTTGTGCTGTGGCCGAAACGTCGTGAGAATATTATTGTGTTATTTTATTTTATCAATTTATTATTTTATTCTCATTCTACGTGGTGACTTTACCGAAAGAACCAAAGAAGAACTAATTTGACCTCTCGGGGGTCATCACGGCCACAACGCAAATCGACGGCCGCTAAAAACTTAAGGCGTAAGCAGCACACGGCGCGTCACCGCGCGGAGCGACTGCAACGACGTTCACGCCGACGATGCCCCCACCGACAAACGCGACACCGGCACACGGCCGCGAAGCGAAAGTCATCAATGGACTCCGATCCAACCGACGGCGTCCAATAATGGCGAAGCCGGTAGGAAAATAACAAAAACCTTTTTTTGCGTAGGGTGACGACGACGGTCTTGCAACGGCGAGGCTGCAAGATGCGGCTCGGACGCCACTGAAGGCGATCGGGAATTTTTTTATTATTATTATTGCATTTGTAGTGTCACAGGACGTCAGAGAGAGAGAGAGGGGGGGGGGGGGGGTAGGTACGCAGCCTTGAATGGCCAGCGACAGGAATTTGCTCGCGTATTTATTGATACGGATTTAATAACACGCTCCCCCCCCCCCCACCCCGCCCCCCTCCCCGCCATCCACCACCACAGGGGCTTTGCATAGTATTGCGGGTTTTTCATTCCCACGAAAGCATCGTGGCCTGAGCATTGAATGGTCTCGGCGCGAGACGAGAGGGGCGCGCGGCGTTGGGTCGTCGGGAGCTACCCGCGCTGCTTGGGGGAAAAACAACGAACGGATGAACGTCGAGCGAACGAATTGGGCGTTGGCGAACGGGCACGCGAATCCTTCGGCGTGCGTTCTTTGACTTCCAACACTTCCGAGAGGAAAAGACGACGAATGATCATCGGTTCACGAGCACAACGCGCTAATTAATGCAACGAACGAAGGAATGATTTGGGTGTTGCGAGACGCGAGAGGGAGATCGAGAAGATAGAAGGTTAAACAGTAATCGGGTGTATACCAGTGCCCTCCAGTCTATTGCATTTATGAATATCAAGTCCTTCCCCGCCCCCCCCTCCCCCCCCCCCATTCTCTTTTGGTGCCGTCTTAAATCAAATAAGAAATGGAGACTAAAAAAAAAACCGTGACACAAAAAAAATCAAACACAAACCGGAGAGAGAAAGAAAAAACTCGACTCTCCACCGTCGAGAGGAAGACGACAAAACGACAATCCGAGATGCCGTGACGCTTGTGGCACCCTGCTAGACGGGGGGACAAAAAACGAAGAACCTTTGAGAGACCCCCCCGGCTTCGTGGGGTGGTGGGGGGGGGGTAAGCAAAGGTGAGAAGGAAGAGCGGAATCAACGGGCAACGCCACAAAATTCGCACAATGGCCCTTGGTGTCCCCCGATTAGGGTTGCCTTCATCTAGCAGCGGAATGAGAATGGGCGAAGGCTGACGACGATGGCGACGGCGGCGGCTTTCCACCCAACATCTCTTCCGTCTTCGTGACCAACATCCGCGTGGTCGATCTGCTCATCCGTGTATTTTGCGAGGGCCTTAAAACAAAAGGCGCCAAAAACCCCGACATTTAACGACGCGTATTCCCCCTCCGGTGGCGGTGGGGGTGGCGGGGTCGATAAAACGAGTACCACATTGTGAGAAACCAACAGCTCTAGATGGTCTGCACCCCCTGGCCTCCCCCGCCACACCCCCCCCCCCCCGCCATCGCAACACCCCAGCCTCTTACGAAGCCCCCCGTGGAAGACTTAAACACCCACTTTTATTTCCCTCCACTGGCTCACCTGAGCCAGGGACTGCCGCCCACCCACCCCCCCCCCCCCCACTACCGACCCCCAGCCGGCTATTCGGAATACCAAACCTCGCGAGACTTCCCGTTCGGCTTCGGGGGGGGGGGTAGGGGAAATGGTGTGCGGAGGTACGGGGTCATGCGAAGAGGCTAACCGACCTCCACCCTTGGAGGGGAGGTGGTCACCTGCCAAAGCCTCTAGGGCAGCGTTTCTTCATGGCAAGGCCCACGGTGCCACTTGGCGGCCCCTGGCGGACTTTAAGTGCGGCCCACCGACGGTGCGGGTACCCCTCCACCCACCCGACAATAGACAAAATGTGAAAAGACTCCCCCCCCCCCGACACACCCCCACACACCCCCACCCCCCCATCATCGTCACGCTGTCAAATCCCCGGGCGGAGCCCTCGCACTGATGATGCCTTAACTCTGAAAATGAGTGAAGAACACCGCTAAAGGGGTACCACCTTTGTGTGGTGGAGGAATGGACTGGAACTTCCCCTGCCCCCCACATCCCCCCCCACCTCCCCCCCCCCACCTACCCCCCCAACTGGGCCGGGTGTCACGTAGTCCACCAAGCTAAGCTCTGCAAATGTGTCCTTGAGGTACGGAACGGCGTAACAAGGGCCCCCCTGAGCACCCCGCGTCGAGCTCAGAGCAGGCGCCGTCGATTGTACGAGCAGGCGTGTGCAGGGTTCGTGTGATGGGGGGGGGGGACCCGGATGGGTAGCGAATCAACAGGCACCCCCCCCACCCCTCCCCCCCAACCCTGAGATGTTGTGCACGGTGCACGGAGGAGGTACGAGGCTGGCGCGGGGGAGATGGCGCCGAGCCATGCGGCAGGTGCGGCCGTGGTGTCGCGAGCGTGCGGGGGGGGGGTGCAGTGGGTGGGTACTTGGGTGAGTGTGTGGGTGCCTGAGTGAATAGGAAAGTAAAATTGTGGCTGTGTGAGCCGCGTGGGTCTGTGAGTGAGTAGAGTGGGCGGGCGAGTGCAGTGGGCGGGCGGGTGCAGTGGGCGGGCGGGTGCATGCGTGGGTGAGTGAGTGGGTGGGTGAGTGAGTGGGTGGGCAGGTAAGAGTGTGGCTGTGTGGGTCGCGTTGGTCGGTGAGTGGGTAGGTGGACGAGTGAGACTGTGAGTCGGTGAGAGTGGGCAGATGGGTGGTTGAGTTGACGGGTGGGCGAGTGGGCGAGTGAGTGAGCGAGCGAGCGAGTGGGTAGTTGAAAGATTAATTAAATTGGCGAGGAGGAGGAAGGGGTCGCGGCTTCGGAGGACCCCGGGCTCGGCACGCGCCGTCACGAGCCGCCGAGCGTGAGCTTGAGCTCATCCAGGACGTTCGACAGCAACGCGTGGTCGCTGCTCTTCCCGTCCACCGACACCATGGAGCCCTCCTGAGCCACCGGCCAGGGGGCGGGGGCGGTGGTGAGGGGGGGGGGGGGAGACATGGATCAATGCGTGCGGCCGTGGTCAGTGGCAGGACTGCCTAAAGTGGCGAGATGTTAATTACCTCGCCCGGTATACAGGAGGTTGTGGGTTTGATCCCGACCCTGACGCCTCTATTCCGTGCTTCTTCCCGTTGTTGCGTGGATTGTCTCCAGGTTCTGCGGTTTTTTCCCCCCCAGATTTAGATTCAACATCATGCGTTTTATAGTATTTGCCAGCTATAAATTTGCACGTGATAAGCCACTTCATTGAGCTATCGTCTGTTGGCACTTCTGAAAAAGGGCTACAACAGCTCATTGGGCCTTACCAAGTAAAAAAAGGTTATCTGAAGGCCCAAACTGCTGAAATTTACCACTCCTCCTCCCCACCGCATCTGCCCCATGAGAGTAATGTTCTAATAATAGGGTTTTTCCCCTTTTTCTGGCAACAAAACTGATACCTTTTTAACAAGGATTCATGCCTGCATTAACCACAATACCTGCAGTCAAAATGCTCGACCAGATGACGCCTTTTGGCATCATCTGGTCGAGCACCAATTGGGTCGAGGCTCAAAAGAAAGCCGTTCCTTGGTGTGGACCAGTCAGTTTCAAGGACAATGCATCATATATTATCATAGTATGTCTTTTTTGTTTGCCTTTTGACTGCAGGTATTGTGGTTAATGCAGACATGATTCCCTGCGAAAAGGTTTCAGTTTTGTTGCTAGAAAAAAAAAGGGGAAAAACCCTATTATTACATTTTGGAACTGGCAAAGGAGGTCTAATGATGTAGAGTAATGCTCATCGCGCCACAGTCAGACGCATATTTTAACAGTCAGAGTTGGGATTTAGCCAAATTGTATGCATGTATGTATGTTGAACTTCTTTAGCAGAGTATGCAGCCAACCGTGCACGGAGGTGCGTGGGATGGACAACTATACGAAAAAAAAAACACAGTTCTAAAGAAATTAAGTTTTTTCAATCTAGATTTAAAAATGCATAGCTCCAGTGGCTTCCTAATAATCGGAAGGAAGAGCGAAAGGAAGAGATGGCGAGCCAAAAGCCGCCGCTGCGAGGATGACCGGAGTTTGTGTGATGGTGGTTTCTGCTCATTGACGAGACCGGCAAGGCACTGGTGCTTCAAATTAAGTAGCGCTAGGCTCAACAAAGCTCCCGACGACACGGGCTAAAAAGTGACGCTCACGTGGATTTTGAGGACATGAGCAGGGACTCACCGCAAGCTTGAGCAGCAGACACACGGGGTGATCCTGGATGGAGCGGCTGTAGAGCGACGCGCAATTTCCCAAGCGCTCCACCACTGGCGGGACAAACGTCATCGTCATCACCATCTTTGTCATAGCAATCGTCGTCGTCATCATCACCGTCGTCATCACTATCATCATCGTCGTCGTCATCGTCGTCGTCATCACCGTCGTCGTCATCATCGTCGTCATCGTCATCGTCGTCCGCATCACCGTCGTCGTCGTGATCATCACCGTCATCGTCGTCATCACCGTCATCGTCGTCGTGATCATCACCGTCGTCGTCGTGATCATCACCGTCGTCTTCGTCGTGATCATCACCGTCATTGTCGTCATCACCGTCGTCGTCTTCATCATCACCGTTGTCGTCATCATCATCACCGTCGTCGTCGTCATCATCATCACCGTCGTCGTCGTCGTCATCATCACCGTCGTCGTCATCATCATCACCGTCATCGTCGTCATCATCATCACCGTCGTCGTCGTCATCATCACCATCATCACCGTCGTCGTCATCATCATCACCGTCATCATCATCACCGTCATCATCATCACCGTCATCATCACCGTCGTCGTCGTCATCATCATCACCGTCATCGTCGTCATCATCATCACCGTCATCGTCGTCATCATCATCACCATCGTCGTCATCATCATCACCGTCATCATCATCACCGTCCTCGTCGTCGTCATCATCACTGTCATCATCATCACCGTCGTGATCATCACCGTCGTCATCGTCGTTACCATCACCATCGAGCGAGGGAGGGAGCAAGGGAGGCGGCGAGGGGGGGGGAGGGAGCCACTAACCGGAGAATCGGTGCAGGAGGCAGACGCGGGCAAGCAGCACGGCGAAAGGCTGCGTGACGCCGCTCGTGCGCAGCGTCGCCGACCTGAGCTCTCCGCCGCCCAACAGCTCCGCAAACGCCTCGCTGCACCGCCACAGGGCACACGGCACGGACCGCGAACGCGGTGACCTCCGTCGGACGGGTGTCTCCGGGCAGTAGACTGGCAATCCCGGACTGATACGGTATTTAGACAAGACTGAAGGACCGGTCCCCCGATAAGATCTCTTGGCGATAGAGCGACGGGTCTCTACCGGGGATGGGTCTCTCTCGAGAGCCGCTGTTCTTTTGAACTTTTTTTTTGGGCTTCTGTACCCCCCCCCCTCCTTGCCGAATTTTGTTTTCAACCGAGTAACCCCCCCCCCCTTGCCTGACCCAACACGGTTCTGCGAAAGTAAATGTGTGAATAATGAAGATCAACATTTGAACAAATTGTGAGGTATATCCTAACTAGAAACTGCAAGCGAATTCCAAAAATTGAGAATGCAACGGACGCTCTGCTCTGCATGCGTGACGCAATTTGTTCGCGCTGGTTGGCTACTCGTGGAAACCCACATTGTGAACCGTCAATGAGTTTAGAAAGGTCTTTGACATCGCTCTAGGTTACCATATATTGAATTGAATGTTATCGTAGTTATTTTATATTGGCAGATTCGTATGCGACGAGTCACCAAACGACTCCCACGTACGATTATAATTTCACACATTTATAAAGTCACCTCGCGTACCCCCTGGGATAGTGCCACGTACCGCCAGGGGTCCCCCGCATACCCCTGGTTGTGAGCCACTGCTCTAGGCGATAGAATGATAAACTGGTCTTTGCCGGAGTCTTTCGACAAGACTGATAGACCAATCTCTACTGGAGTCTCTGGGCAACAGACAGGCAGGCAGACATAGGCAACATACAGGCAGACAGACTGGTCTCTTCTGGAGTCTCTAGGCAACAGGCAGACAGACTGGTTTCTTCTGGAGTCTCTAGGCAACAGACAGACAGGCAGACAGACTGGTCTCTCATGAAGTCTCTAGGCAACATACAGACAGGCAGACAGACTGGTCTCTTCTGGAGTCTCTAGGCAACAGGCAGAGAGGCAGACAGACTGGTCTCTTCTGGAGTCTCTAGGCAACAGGCAGACAGGCAGACAGACTGGTCTCTTCTGGAGTCTCTAGGCAACAGGCAGACAGACTGGTCTCTCATGGAGTCTCTAGGCAACAGACAGACAGGCAGACAGACTGGTCTCTTCTGGAGTCTCTAGGCAACAGGCAGACAAGCAGACAGACTGGTCTCTCATGGAGTCTCTAGGCAACAGACAGACAGGCAGACAGACTGGTCTCTTCTGGAGTCTCTAGGCAAGAGACAGGCAGACCGCTCTCCGTTGTACTCTAGGAAATAGCCAGCAGCACTGCTACCGATGGGCCGGGCGCCTCACCTGTGGCAGGAGGTGGTGAGAAGGTACGACGAGCAGGTGAATTGTAGCGTGAAGTCCAGCTTCTCGTGCGAGGAGCCATCCTCCGTCTGCACGCACACACAAAAAAGACCCCCCCCCCCCCGTAGAGCCTCTAACATACTATTGGAACAAGTGCTGTTTACGAGTAGCACCTATGAAGGCCGGCACTGCATACGAGGGAGGGTGGACGGCTGAGCACCATGCCCAGCCACCTTTGTCTCCATTGTGGCGACGTTTAGACAGCGCACCAGATATGCATTTGAAGCTGGGTCGACCTAGGGGAGGCCCAGGACCGGTGCAGATAATCGTTGCTGGCGTGAGCGGGACTCGAACCCGGGTAGCCGGTCTCTTAGCGTGGCCCGCCCGAGTGCACGAGTATCAGTGCCGCGTCTCCGGGTGACGCTGCCCCCCCGGGCCGTTCGCGCGTGTGTGTGCGTGTGTGTGTGTGTGTGTGCATGTGCGCGTATGCGCGTGTGCGCGCGCCTGCGTGCGCGATCGTGCGTGCGAGGGGCCTCACCTTGACCATGAACGCGAGAGAGCCCTTGAGCTTCTGCGGCATCACGATGGACTGGACGTTAAATGCGACGTGCATCTCGTTCGAGACGCCTGCGGGAGCGCAGAGAAACATTGCGGTAACGTGAACGGTCGCCCGCCTCACGCGCACTCATCTGCGTGAAAGGGTTCGTGTGAGGGAGTGTGTGAGCGTGCGACCGCGAGAGGGTGCGTGCGAGTCCGTGAGGGAATTCGTGCGAGTGTGTCTGCGTAGCGGTTAGCAGCTGCGCCACGAACCAGGCGACATGGGTTCGATCCCCGCATCCAGGCCAACAACACGGCCATCACAGGTGCTCGCTAACAGCACTTGCCCCAACAGTCTGTTCAGGCTACGCGGAGAATCTTTTGTCTTTGTAATTGTGCGAGGGTTTGTGTGTGTGTGTGTGCGTGTGTGCGTGCACGAGAGGGTGCGTGACCGTGCGTGAGGGAGCGTGCGAGCGCTCGTGCGAGTGTCAGTCCACACGGGCCGCTGCAGCTGGACAAAGGAGGTTCCACACCGGGACTTCGACATTCACCTCCACATTAGGACGGTTTGGCTACGTACGGTGCGAACGAAGTTCGACACATACACACACACACACACAGGTGGCTTGAGCGAGTCGAGGTGGTGGAGAGGCGAGTGGCGGAGGCATACATGGGCGAGTGACAACAACAACAACAACGGCAAACGACGCCGCATCGTTACCACTACGCTGCTCAAAGTAGCCCCCCCCCCTCCCGCACCTCCCATTAGCACGGTTGGCTACGTGCGGTGCGAAAGAAAGTTCAGCATACGTACGCACTGCCCCATGGACGAACACTGCCCATAGACTCAACACGTACATTTAGGCTTCGGGCCCGCTGTACGCACGCTCGTTCAACGCCCGAGAGAGAGACGGGCGGCTGGAGGGGCACTGGGGGCTAAGGTGGAGGGGGCTGGGGGATTGGGAGGGTGTTAGGGGGGGGGAGGGTCGCAGTGGCGCTCACCGGCGGGCAGTTGGAAGGGGACCGCGATCCCATCGTGTGCCGTGGCGCCGGGCGGCCTCAGCAGCCTCATGTTGAGCGAGTCGAGGACGTTGAGCTCCATGGACTTGAGCTGGGCCTCGCCCTTGTTGGCCACGATGAGCGACACGACCACCTTGCTGCCGCCGCTGCTCACGTCGCCCTGGACGTCGTACGTCTACGCGCGAGCGGCGAGCGGTGGGGGTCGCGGGGATGAGTGGCGACGTGTAGGGACGAGACAAAGATCCTCCCCCCCCCTCCCCCTATCCTTTTACTGTCAATAGGAGCCCGGTACAGAGCGCAAACCGCGACGTGGGTTGGGGGTTGGGGGGGGTACAGAAACTCCGCAGACCTCAGTCACGAACACTATGGACACCGGGGTTTAAGGAAGCGGCTACTAATTTAAGACCGAGTCGACCTATGGGAGATGGGGGGGGGGGGGGGGGGGGGGGGCCGGGACCGGTCCAGGTAATCGCCGCTGGCATTGGTGGCCGTGAGCGGGAATGGAACTCGGGTCGCCGGGTTCGCAGGGCAGCGCGCTCTCCGCTGCACACCGCCGCTCCCCAGACGCACAAAGGCAAACGAAAGACGCGCGCATCGAATCCTGCACCCGTTACGAAGACTCGGGCTACCAGGCCGACAGTTTTACCTCTCCGCGCGGTGTGAACCACAACATACCTATTTTTAGTTTTTATTTTAGCAGGTCAAATTTTTCGGCGAGCGACCCAGTCACAACTGATAGCTCAAAGAGGTGGTTTAACACGTGCAATTTTATAGCGGGCAAATAAACGCTCTAAACTCGGAGAAAAAATGCACGCGGCCACGGGGAAAGAAGCACGCAAACTCCAAATATACGGCAGCACGCATCGTCAAGGTCGGGATCGAACCCACGACCTCCTGTATACCTGGCGAGGTAGTCAACATCTCCTAGCCACCGTGGCGCCCCCACTGCTACATGAAGGTCACCCCTAAGCCGTCACCATCCCATCGCTCTCGGTCTCTCGATGACAACAATGAACCCAGCTTCCCCGCGCCGTGTTGGGTCACCGGCATTGTTTAGTTACCATACTTCACCACGCTGGTGAGTGCAGTGCAGGTGGTGAGCCCGGGGATCGGTGCAGACACAGGGCTCGCCACTGATCTTAGCCGTGGTCTGAAATCAAACCTCGGATCGATTGATTCGTGGCGCAGTGCTCCAATCACCGCGCCACCGCTCCTCCCACCCCGAGGAGGTAGTGAACCTCAAGAGGTTCATCAAGACCCGGTAAAGATTCACGAAGATGTTCAAGTGTCTCTCTCTCTCTCTTTAAAGTGCTACAACCCAACCCTGAATTGTGGGGATCAGATCTCGGACCTTACCAACTTGAGGTGGGAGTTCTCGGCCAGAAGCTTGTATCTGGACATCGGCTGGGGAAATAAGCGACAGACCAAAAACACGGAATATCAGACTCCATTTGTCAGATAAGAAGATGCTTCTGCATCGTATGTTTGTTGAACTTCTTTCGCACCGTACGTATCCAACCGTGCTAATCGGAGGTGCGGTGGGGGAAGGCCAACAAACTAAACATAAAAATTCGCTATAAAGAAATCGGCTTTCAATCTAGATGGGTTCAAAGTGCACAACTCCAGTGGCTTACTCATGTCGGAATAAAGGGCATTCCAGAAGGAAAGCGCACGATGCGGTGACCGCCTTTGTTCGATGGCCGAGCCAAAAGCCGCTGCTGCGAGGATGACCGGAGTTCGGGTGATGCTGGTTTATGCCCGTTACAAGATCAGCCAAAGTATTAACGCGTCAGACATTGTGCGTCCACAAACGTGGAAACTGCCCAACCTGACGACGCGCGCTACTCAGTGCCGGGCGATACAGGCTTCAACCAGGCGGGTGAGTTTTTCTCCAACGCTGAGACCGTGATGGCGGCATTAAGATGTAAAAAGTGGGCCGGGGCTGTGGGAGGGAGGGGATCGGCCAGCTAACCCCATTATACCGAGCCCTGTGGCGTGAGGTCGACCCCCGCGCGTTAACCCCCTTCGCCGTGGGACCCGCGCGCAATGCGAGGCTTACAGGCAGCGAGACGGGCAGCTCATCCCCGTTCTGCAGGGGGGCGGCCTTTCCAGGCGACGAGGCCTTCTCTTCTCGGCTCTTCGGGCTCTTACGGGACGACTCGCCATCCTCTTCCCGGCTCTTCCGGCTCTTACGGGACGACTCGCCATCTTCTTCCCGGCTCTTCCGGCTCTTACGGGACGACTCGCCATCTTCTTCGCGGCTCTTCCGGCTCTTACGGGACGACTCGCCATCCTCTTCCCGGCTCTTCCGGCTCTTCCGAGATGAGTTTCCGTCTTCTTCCCTGCTCTTCCGGGATGACTTACTGTTCCCGTCCCTGCTCTTCCGGCTTTTCCGGGACGTGTCCCCCTCTTCCTCGTGACTTTCGGAGCTCTTCCGGCTCTTCTGCGATGACGAACCCTCCTCCTTGCGGCCCTTTCGGCTTTTCTGGGGTGGTTCCTCCACCTCTTGCAAACTCTCCCGGCTCTCCCCAGGGGTCGTGACCTCCTCTTCGTCCTCCTCGTGCCTCTTCTTGCTCTGTAAAACGAACCAGAAAAGCCACCGTTGGCTAAGAGCGTTGAGAAGAGAGAGCAGAGTGGAGAGCTAGTGAGAGAGACAGCTAGTGAGAGAGACAGCCAGTGAGAGAGATAGCCAGTGAGAGAGACAGCCAGTGAGAGAGAGAGCTAGTGAGAGAGAGAGAGCTAGTGAGAGAGACAGTTAGTGAGAGAGACAGCTAGTGAGAGAGACAGTTATTGAGAGACAGCTCGCGAGAGAGACAACTCGCGAGAGAGACAGTTAGTGAGAGAGACAGCTCGCGAGAGAGACAGCTCGCGAGAGAGACAGCTCGCGAGACAGACAGCTAGTGAGAGAGACAGCTCGTGATAGAGACAGCTCGCGATAGAGACAGCTCGCGATAGAGACAGGTGGAATGAGAGGGACAGGTGGAGTGAGAGGGACAGTTAGTGAGAGAGACAGGTCGCGAGAGAGATGGCCAGTGCGAGAGACAGCTAGTGAGAGAGACAGCTCTCGAGAGAAACAGTTCGCGAGAGAGACAGCTCGCGAGAGAGACAGCTCGCGAGAGAGGCAGCTCGCGAGAGAGACAGCTCGCGAGAGAGACAGTTCGCGAGAGAGACAGCTCGCGAGAGAGACAGCTCGCGATAGAGACAACTCGCGAGAGAGACAGCTCGCGAGAGAGAGAGTTCGCGAGAGAGACAACTCGCGAGAGAGACAGCTCGCGATAGAGACAGGTGGAATGAGAGGGACAGGTGGAGTGAGAGGGACAGGTGGAGTGAGAGGGACAGTTAGTGAGAGAGACAGCTCGTGAGAGAGACAGCTAGCGAGAGAGACAGTTCGCGAGAGAGAGTTCGCGAGAGAGACAGTTCGCGAGAGAGACAACTCGCGAAAGAGACAGCTCGCGAGAGAGACAGTTAGTGAGATAGACAGCTCGCGAGAGAGACAGGTGGAATGAGAGGGGCAGGTGGAGTGAGAGGGACAGGTGGAGTGAGAGGGACAGGTGGAATGAGAGGGACAGGTGGAGTGAGAGGGACAGCTCGCGATAGAGACAGGTGGAGTGAGAGGGACAGGTGGAGCGAGAGGGACAGGTGGAGCGAGAGGGACAGGTGGAGCGAGAGGGACAGGTGGAGCGAGAGGGACAGGTGGAGCGAGAGGGACAGGTGGAGCGAGAGGGACAGGTGGAGCGAGAGGGACAGGTGGAGCGAGAGGGACAGGTGGAGCGAGAGGGACAGGTGGAGCGAGAGAGACAGGTGGAGCGAGAGGGACAGGTGGAGCGAGAGGGACAGGTGGAGTGAGAGGGACCCTACGTTGTCCGCGACTTCCGGCTCGTGTCCTGCTGAAGGCGCCGTGCTCTCTATAAACTCGTACTGCAAGACACAACGACAAAGACGACGATGAAGTTGCGCAACAAGTAACGTATGTTGAGCCTCTTTCGCACCGTACGTAGCCAAGCCTGCTAATCGGAGGTGCGGGGGAAGGACAACGAACTAACACACAAAGAGAGTTTCGATGCCGTGGGAAGGAGTGGCCACGCCGTGGTGGGAAGGCCTTCGCCCAACAGTGGATAGAACACGACCGATGATAATTAATTAGTTTTGCAAGCAGAATTTGTGAATGACGTCGAAGGTTCAGTACCTCCGGTCTCTCTCTCTCTCTTAGACACGTGTGGAATGGCACTGGAGTAAAGGGCTGGGCGGGCAATCGACAAGTCACGAGTTTAAATGCCGGTTAGGCGTCGACTCAATCCATCATCATCACATCATGTAGATGTAGTACCACTTAGTGGGACGGTGCTCTTCCTTCGGAAATACGAGCCACTACTGTGGAAAATGTGGAAATTACACCGCTGGTTTAGGGGCTGCATACGGAGAGGAGCACTGACCAATTTTGCTTGTTTGGGCAGGGAGAAAGGCGGACCGGAACATAGCTTGCCTTAAACTAAAAAGCCGCATGTCTACAGCAACACGTATTCTTAACCCTTTTCCCCGTTCCGATGACGTAACGTAACTGTACGTCATCGGAACGGAATGAAAACTAAAACAAAATAACTTCAACCGTACGTTTTCAGGTCAGAAAGACGTGCCGAGGGCTCCCACAAGGCTATGCGGGGAGGGCTGTGTGGCACAGTTTTGGCGCCAGCTATCACAGAGCGACGGTCGTGTCGCTACGGTTGTCTGCGGCGAGGACGGCGTCTTTAAAAACGACGGCGCTACTACGCCTCTCTGAATAAAATTCACGCTGAGCCGCTCGCGCGTTCCGAGATTCAGCGGTTGAACGGGACACCCAGAGTCGTCTTGGAATGGGAAAGGGTAAACTAGACGCACGTGCATTCTTAACTACAGCCACATGTATCATTAACTACACGGACATATATTCTTCATTACAGGCACATGCAACCTTAACCACATGCACGTGCAGCAAGGTGAACTACCTTGGCTTTGGAGGGAGACACTGCGTCCGACAGCCAGAAATCCAAATCGTTCAGCTGTGGAGAGCAGAGACCACCAATACACACACACAAAGGTGAAGCAATGTGAGGTCTGTGCATGTGTGCTGCGTGTGGTGCATACAATGCGTTTGTGCTGTGTGAGTGTCATGCGTGCGTGATGTGGGCTGTGCATGCGAGGTGTGTGCTGTGCGTGCGGTGTGCGTGCTGTGTATGTGCGCTGTGTGTGCGCGTGGGTGTGCGTGTGCGTGCGTGTGTGGGGACCAGTAATGTATAGCGTTTAGCACGCTGCCCTACAAACCCGGCGACCCGTGTTCGATTCCTGCTCATGGCCAACACCAGTGACGATTATCTAAATCGGTCTTGGGCCTCCCCTAGGTCGATTCAGCCTCAAATGAGTACCTGCCACAGTGTGTGAACATCGCTACTGGGGAGACAAAGGCGGTGCTGGCCACCCACCCACTCGTGTGCCGTGCCGGCCTTCACAGGTACTCGCTAACAGCACTTGTCCCAACAGTCTGTTAAGCCTCTATGGGGGATCTTTGTCTTTATTTTTTGTGGTGTGCTGTGTGTGTGCACTGTGCGTGGGCGCTGTGTGCGTGTACACGTGCTGTGTGTGTGTGCCCGCTGCGTGTGTGTGCGCGCTGTGTGTGTGCGTGCGCTCTGTGTGCGTGTGCTGTTGCTGTGTGTGTATGGTCTATATCAGGGGGTGAGAAACCTCTTCCTTACCAACACCCAAAAGAGGAATTTAAATTTCCTTTTGTGTGCCGCACATTAAACACACAACTCACTATGTTGCAATGTCAAATCTGCCACGATGCTACACTATGCTAAAATCCCAGTAGCTTTGGTTTTAGTCCTAGCAAATTCCTGGCAAATGGAATCTCAAAACTATCATTCATTGAGCCTCTTATGGCTTAAACAAACTAATATTATAAGGAGAGCGTCTGTGTAAACTGCTCTAACAGCAACAACAGTTGGACACCCTACAGAGGTTGGTGGGGGGGGGGCGCAGAATGGTTCAGGATTCTTAAAAAATTGCGTCAGGATCACCGAGCCGGACACACACCTAATGGAATCCGGGCTTCAAACGCCTGCGATTAAACCGAGTTGGGTTCTCAAGTGATGGGCTCAGCCCAATTATGAAACGACTGAGTAAAGAATAATTAATAAACCATCGCATCAAATGCGGTTTCTCAATTGATTCAGCATTTATTTGACAGGTGACAAATAGCTACACAGCAGCAGGGTTCTACGGGGGAGGTTGCACCTCCACCTCGTGAAGACAAGATGTAATTGAAGGGGATCTCAGAACTAGCTCTGTGAAACCATCTTTCCGCAATATGTCATTCTCCAACAGGGGGGCGAGAGTTCCCAACGGAAATCTCTTCCCCCTCAAGCCACGGCGACAACGAAACAGCACGAACGCCACAAAACACACATCACCGTGACACTACAGGTTCGGTAGTCCTGACCTGAGAGGGGGCAAATGTACAGGGACCCAGAGGTCAAAGATCAAGTGGGCGAAGGTCGTACGTCTGCATTGGCGGGCGTGCTTGTGCCGCCCTCTCCCTCGCCGGCCGCCCCCCTGGGCTCCGGGTCATGCGACACGGCCACTGCCTTCTTGTCCCCGTGCGAGCCGTGCCTCTTCCGCTCCTTCTGCCACAAACCCCGCGTCAATGGTAACGACGATACAACGATGACGGTCATGATGCAACGATCACTGTTATGACAATCCAACACGAGTAGGTAAACGCACGGGTAAAGACTGCTCGATTCGATCATCGGGTTTGTTTCTAAGGCTGGGGGTCAGGTTTAGGGTTTCTGGTTGGAGTCAGGTTCAGGGTCGGAATCAGGTTGATGGTTCTGGTTGGAGTCAAGTTGATGGTTTATAGTCAGGTTTAGGGTTTCTGCTTGGAGTCAGGTCTATGGTTCTCGCTGGAGTCGGGTTTAGGGTTTTGGGTGGGGTCAGGCTTAAAGTTCTGCGTGGGATCAGGTTTAGGGTTCCGGCTGGAGTCGGGTTTGGCACGAGCATTAGGGAGTGCAAGACAGAATGAATGCGTCAAACGTCGGTGGGAAGAGAAGATCAAACCTTGTCCTTTTTGCTCTTCTTCCTGTCCTTGTCCTTGTCTTTGCCCTTGTCCTTCTCCTTGCTCTTCCTCTTCTCCTTGTCCTTGCCCTTGTCTTTGCTGCCCATCTTGCCCGGCTGCACGGGGCTCTCGCTGTCCGGCGAGACGATGCGGTGAGTCTTCACCGGCAGCTTGTCGCCGTCGGTCAGCGGCCTGGAAAGCGAGCAGAGGCATCGTCGTGTATCGCCCGAGAAAATACCCACGTGTCGCCTGCTTCACGGTGGATGCTAAAAGATCCCGCGGCGTCGTTCGCAAAGAGTGAGGCCACTGTGTACCGGCGTCACGGTCCCTATTTGGACGTATTGGCGGTACACCGGTGAAGCATAACACACCGGTCCCTCGCAAAAGAGTTCTGACGATGTTGCTGCTGCCCTTGGGCGAGCTGCAGAACTCTCTATCAGAAGTTGCCTTAGATGCAGCAGCTGCTTTCCCTTTCGAACGCGTGACGCGAGTCGTAATCTTTCGATGACACCGTCCGCCGAGAAACGATTCCGGAAAACGATTCGGGGAACCGTCCGACCGAGCCTAGGGCACGGGGAGTCAAATCTGGCTTTGGAACACGGAGCAGCCGATTGTCATCAGGCTGGGTGCTTGCGATAATGCAACAGACTGTGAAGCTTCGTGTTCAGCTGCTCATAAACGTTTGTCTTCCGACCGCTTTGACATAACGAGATCTTATTTTGACACACCACCACGCATGATTTTCGGACTGGGGTTGCGAATCGCGGGAAACTAAATTATTATTGTGAAAAACGTGCTTTTTTATATATATATATACCGTGCACCCGTATGGCACCAATACGTTCATATGCCTAATTTGAATGACAGTCCGCAAATTACTCGGTCGGGATATTACATCGAAAATGATGGGGGGCCCCCCCTGCAGATAAAACTTGTCAGGACTCTCGTGCAAAGCAAGTCGTGGGAGTCAAGCGAGGCTTTCTTGGGTTAACAAGCGTAGCAGTAGTAGTAATAAAGGTGAGTTGGGAGTGCTTGTGAAAAAACAGAAGCTGACGATGAAAAGCGACGCGTATGCTCATTATCAAATTCTATTTTCCCCACAATTAGCACCGCAGCCTGCTCTCACTCGCTTCCTTTGTTTAAATACTGTTTCCGAGGATGAACACGCTGGTTGTTTACGATCGTGAAGGGGCGCCGTGGTGGCGAGATGTTAACTACACTCACCTGGTATATAGGAGGAGGTCGTGGGTTCAATCCCCGACGCCTGCTGTATATTTGGAGTTTGCGTGTCTCTCTCTCCCCTGTGGTCGCGTGGATTTTTTTTCCGGGTCCTCCGGTTTCTCCCTCCACATTTACAATCAACGTGCGTGTTTTGGCTCCTGCTATAAATGTCCACATGATGATAAGCCACTTCGTTGCGCTATCGCTTGTGACCAGGTCGCTTGCGAAAAAGAGCTGTAAGGGCTCAGCAGGCCTTACCTGATCAAAAAAATATATATATGTTCCAGTTTAGTTTTAGTTTAACATGAAGTGAAAATACTCACTTGTCCAAATCCATGTCCAGAGCTCTGTAGGGGTCTTTGGGGTCGAACCTCTTATCTTCATCGTCACTGGGGAGGGCGTCCTGGGTCAACACGAACATCGCAGAGCTTAGCCGGGAGACGTCTCCCGGGGGGAGACGGGCGCTGCGCCAGTGAGCAGCGATTTAATTTAAAAAACTACGGCGGTGGCATGGGGATGAAGCGGCCCAGCAGCATGAGTCACCGCCGCGGTGCTGAATGTTTGTTCACCGCATCAGGCGCTGGCTTAAAGATGAGTTGGCTCATGGGGGACGGCTAGGCCATGTTCGGGTGGGGGGGGGAGAAACTCCAAAGCGCAACGTACACAAAGACAAAGCATCCCCACCTTCCTATAGCCTTTAACAGACTGCAGGGGGCAAGTGCCGTTCGTGAGCACCTACGAAGGCCGGCGTGTCTCTCCAGGACTGATGCTTACACACTTGCGCTAGGTACTCATTTAAAACTGAGTCGACCTGGGGGGAAGTCCAGGACCGGTTCAGATATTCGTCACCGATGTTGGTTGCGAGTGAATAGGACATTGGAATTAGAATCTTTATTTATCCTGGAGAAATCAGATGAGCTATGAAGCTCTCTTTCACAGATGTCCAGTAGGGGCGAAAGTAGCCATCGAATGGGTTTATAGCGCAGTGCACTAATGACCGCTCACACACACACACTCTCTTGCAAATGTTCATTCACACGTGCACATCCAAAAACAGATAAACACATATCGCCTCTCACAAGCACACACCCCTATGCGCACAGTAAACAGACCTCCAATTACACAAAGATCCCCCGTGTAGCCTTTAAAGGACTGTTTGGGCAAGTGCTATTAGGGAGCACCTATGAAGGCCGGCATGGCACACGATGAGGTGGGTGACCAACACCACGCCCGGTCGCCTTTGTCTTCCTATTGTAAATGTTTACACACCGCACCAGGTACTAATTTAACGGCGGAGTCGACCTTGGGGAGGCCTCAGAACCGGATCTGATCATCGTCACTGGTGTTGGCCGTGAGCGTGAATCGAACTCGGGTCACCGGGTTCGTAGTGCAGCGTAGCGCTAACCGCGACACTACCGCTCCCCACAAACGCACGCTGTTAATTGGCTGAGCACGAATCGACTTCGGGTCGCCAGGTTCGTAGCGCAGCATGCTAACCGCTTCCCTACCGCTCCAATCACACACCCAGCAAGAGACGCACGCACATGCACAACCGACCCATCCACATACACACAGGCACACATCCTCAACAACAACAGCCGTCTTTCCCTATGAAGTGGCGGTGACGTCACCGCAGCTCTTGTGCTAGATTCGGTGCACCTTAAGGTCACGTGAAGTACGTATAAAACCACGGAATATCAGAGCAGCGAGGGAGACTCCATTTGTCAGGTAAGAAGATGCTTCTGCATCGTATGTTTGTTGAACTTCTTTCGGACCGTACGTAGCCAAACGTGGTAATTGGAGGTGTGGGGGAAGGACAACAAACTAAACACAAAAAGCAGTTAGAAAAAAAATGTCAATATATTTTTAAAAATGCATAGCCCCAATGCCTTTCTAATATCGGAAGTATAAACGTTCCCGACGGCCACAGAAGCGCATCTTAAAGCGCGCGATGCAGTAACGACAAGAGGTCGCGGGACAGACCCAGATGTTGCGGGTTGACCAAATGAGATGACGGACAGATGCCTCCACCTGTGATCCTCACTGTGCCACCTCGCTGCATATTATCCGCGTGCACACACCAGGTCGCCTTTGCAGACGATAAATTGTTGCGTTCATTCCATCTCCTGGTTAAGTGAAAGGGGCCTCACTGATCAGCCTGGCACTAACCCACAAAGATCCCCCCCCCCCCGTATAGCCTTAACAAACTGTTGGGGCAAGCGCTGTTTGTGAGCACCAATGAAGGCTGGCACAGCTCACGAGGAGGGTGGGTGGCCAGCACCATGCCCGGCCACCTTGTCTCCTTCGCACCACACGCATGCACATGCACACGCACGCACACTCACGCACGGATGCACACGCATGCACGCACGCATGCACGCGCATGCACCACCCGGCAGTGACATCATCATGGCGCTTGTGCCAGGCTATATGCATGTTAAGGCCACGTGAAGTATCGAACGCCCGCTGGCAGGAGGTCACGGGAAAGACCCAGGTGCCATGGATTGAGATGACTGGCCGATGCACCACCTGTGCCCCCTACTGTGCCGACCTGCTGTGTTTTAGCCACCCGGTGTTCCGCTCGTTTTTGTGAACGTCACTCCTCTGCCCTCCATTGTTGCTAGAGGGCGACTGCCTCCAACTGCCCAGTTAGCAGCGTCCTTCTCGAGCCTCCTCCACAGAGGCCGATCTTGACACCGCTGGTACCAGTAATTGGCGAGTCCACTCAGCTCCACGTCCTCCTGTACCACATCACTCAATCTCTTCTCTAGCCCCTGGGACGCCCGTTTAGCCCCTTCTATCCGGCTGAACAAAAACTATTAAGGTGGCTGAGCATGCGGGCTACATGACCCAGCCAACGCAGCCTTGCCTTCCGGAGGAGCTCACCAATGGGACTTTGTCCAGATCTTTCAAAAATGTATGAGCTCCTCACACAATCCAGCCTGGTTAAACCCAGGATCGATCGTAGGCAGGCCAGCCTAAATGTTTCTTACCGCCGAAAATGTTCCATTCGGGGGATCCACGTTTCGCAAGCATAGAGAAGGGAGAGCATGACTGTGGCCGAGAAGACCCAAAGCTTTGTGTGGTGCAACAGACCGGGTAGCTTGCACACGCACACACGCACACACACGCGCACGCGCGGGCGCACACGCACACACGCACACACGCACACGCACACACGCACACACACACACGCGCACACGCACAGCACCTCGGGCATCTCCTCGGTGACGATGTCGACCGTCTGCGCCGGCGCGATGTCCTCCTCGCTCTCGGCCGTGTGGTGCCGCCGCCTTCGCCGCCGCCCGTCCTTGTCGCCCTTGCGACGCGGCTCCCCCCCGCCCGCCGCGGTGCGCTGCTTCCGTCGCCGCTCCTCCTCCTGCCGCGCCAGCTGCTCCGACGACGCGTGCAACCCTGGGCGGGCCGATTGGCGAAACGCAAAACCGCGTGTCGTCCGACGCTCGTCGTCCCCCTCTCGAAGTCGGCAAGGCTCAAATTATTGCAACTGGCTACTCTACGGGACGTCTGGCAAAAAAAAAAAAGCATCAACAAAGCCGTCGTGTGTACAACATTCTCTGGCTCGTGTCGTGACGGGTACTGCAAAATACCAAACGTGTCCGTCCGGTGCTCGCCGAGTTGCATTGGTTTCTGGCAGCCGAAAGAATACGTTAAAAGGTCGCGCTCATTACACACCGAGTGCTTGCCATGAATGAACCACAACACAACTTGCTGATCTCGTCAAGGACGAGCATAAATCATCACATGAACTCTCACGGTCATCCTCGTAGCGCGTCCGAAAGCGCATCGTGCGCTTTCAGACGCGCTTCTGCGGCCACCGGGAATGTTCTTCCTACGGATATTAGGAAGTTTTTAAAGCTAGATTTGAAACGAATTTCTTTAGTTGAGTTTGTTGTCCTTCCCCCGCACCTCCGATGAGCATAGTTGGCTTCGTATGTTGCGAAACAAGTTCAACATACATACACACAAACAAACAGAAGAGGAGGTCTTTGACTTGACGTCACGGGAAGCTCGTGGATAAACAACCTCAATTATAATTTTGTGCCCATCTAAAATCCGTATCTTCGAGAGAGGGTCCTCGCTCGTAACATTTGGCACCGATTCAACAAGAGAAACACTGCGTGTTGAAACCGGTACTGAGTTTTGTTATGCTCCAACTGAATCAATGCCACTGAAATCGTGTAATTCCAGAAGGCCACGCGGCTGATGGATTGTGTCAGAAATACTTGAAAAAAATGTTCACGTGAAAGTTGCTATTTTGGGAGCCATGGTGGCGAGATGTTAACGCCCTCGCCTGGTGTGCAGGCGGTCATGGGTTTGATCCCGACCCAGACCGCCTTCTGTATATTTGGAGTTTGTGTGTCTCTCGCTCCGTGGTCGCGTGGATTTTTCTCCGGGTCCTCCGGTTTTTCCCTCCACGTTTAAAATCAACATCACTCGTTCATCGAGCATTTGGCCGCTATACCATTTTCACGCTATAAGCTACTTGGTTGAGCTATCATTTGTGATAGCCAGGTCACTTCTGAAAAAAAGATATTCATAGCTCACAGTGTGCCTTACCTGGTGAAATAAATAGTTTAGTTTATAGTTTAGTTCATTCAAACGACAGCCACAGACAAAGGAGGAGGCCGGCTATCCTGGCGGAGACCCTCACCTGTCCTGGATGACGACCGACCCCACCTGCTTCAACTGCCGTTCGGCGAGACTCGGGATGAGGCCATCATGCGCAGAGGGCTGTCGTGGATCAATATAACGGGGAGAGCACACGTGCGCGCTGGCACGAGGGAGAGACAACTGCACGCGCAGGGCCCGCGGGCTGCATGTTGGCGAAGGCGGGAGGGGGGGGCGCGCCTACCTGGCATTTTGAGCGGCACGGCGAGGTCAATCTCCACGACGGGGATGTGATTCACTCCTGGCGAGGAGTTCTAGAGGACAAAAGGACAAAGGCAAAGATCCCCCGTATAGCCTGAACAGACTGTTGGGGCAAGTGCTGATTGCGAGCAACTATGAAGGCCGGCACGGCGCACGAGGGGGTGGGTGGCCAACACCATCCCAGGCCATCTTTGCCTCCACAAGTGGTGATGTTTACACACCGCAACAGGTACTCAATTTGATGCCGATAATCGTCACTGGTGTTGGTCGTGAGCGCGAATCGAACTCGGGTCGTCGGGTTCGTAGCGCAGTGTGCTAACCATTACGCTACCGTTCCGCTGCGCCCACCGACACAAGGTACAAAGATCAGCAGCACCATGTGATGGCCAAATGTGTGCACACATCCATAATGTGAAGACATCACACGTGAGGCAGTAAGCGGCTCACTAGCACTCTAGTACACGGGGGGGGGGGAGGCGGGGTCGGTTACGGACCTTTTGGTGGGAGGGAGAGCTCTTGATGTAGTAGGGATTGCTCTCCTGATCCCGCTTGCGCTGCTCCCGCATCTGAAGGTGGAGGGAGGGACAAAAACACGCAGTCAGCTTCTCACGATGCCGAGTTCCAGACCGCAAAACTTCCCACAATGTCTCGCATGCAGCAAAACATCCCACAATTCCGCGCCGACGTCATTGGAACGGAACCGGAAGAAGTAAACTAAAATAACTTCATCGGTACTGAGGGTCCCAAGAGGCCATGCAGGCGATGCGTGCGACACAGTTTGGTGCCGGCTATCACGGAATGCGGTCGTGTCGCTGCGGTCCTCTGCGGTAACAATATCTTTAAAAACAGCGGCGTTTCGCCTCTGTAAATAAAACTAACGATAGCCGCTTGCGCATTCCGAGATTTGGCGGCAAACGGGACCCCATCCTGCAACTTGCAGTCGTCTCCGAAAGGGTTAATAAAAGCTATCCATGGGGGGATATCTTTGTTCTTTGTGTGCAAGTTGCCTTGTTCATCTCGTCCTTGCTGGGCTCCGGCTGCCGTGGTTGACTCAGCTCGTTGTGATCCTCCAAGATTGCTCGTCTCCGCTTGCCCTCGTTCTCCCCGTCCACCCTGTCCTCCTCGTCCTCCTCGCTTCCCGACGAGGGCTCATTAATCCAGCTGTCCAGGTCCAGCCTGGACAACGACAACGACGACAACAATAACAACCGCTGTTTGCCACTAAGCGGCGGCGGTGATTTCACCACGGCGCTGGTGCAGGGGGTAGTGCAAGCGTTATAGGCGTGGTTAGGGTCAGCACTGCGGTCTCACCCGTCCGGGATGGGGACTTTCTTCTGGGCCTTGGGCGCCACGGGATTGAGTTCCCCGGAGAAGAGGGTAGCTACCTCCGCCACCACGGCCACTTCCTTCTCGTGCAGCTTCTGCACGTAGCGCACCAGCTGCAGCACGCCCGACGCCTGAACGCGGCACACACAACACACGCCGCCGATTAGCATGGCTGGGCTACGTACGGTGCGAAAGAAGTTCAACATACACACCATAATACACGAGCCACTTCATGAGCGAGGTGCCGAGGAAAACCGAAAAATAGACAGGACACAGGCGACACGCACACCGCACCAATGCCACCCACCCCCACCCCGCCCCCCCCCCCCCTCCAAAATCTCGTCGGATCTCAGAAGCCAAGCAGGGGCTGAGCGCTGGACAGGCGCTCGCACGCGGTGACGACTCACCCTCTCCTGCACCTCCAGGTCGCCGTTGTTCACAAACGGTGGCAGGCGGTCGGCCATGAGGCTGACGAGGTCGGCGAGGCCGCTGCTGGCGTCGTCGTTGGGGTCGGGGTCGCGACCCGACAGCGACCCCAGCAGCCAGGCGAAGAGCTTGGCGGAATTGTGCACGTACACGGCCTGGACGTGGCCGGGCAGCGTGCACACGCGCGGGCGCAGGAGGGCCTCAAGGGTCACGCGCGGCTCCTCCAGGTGCCTGCAATCAGACGAAGGTCAGTCTCTTGTCCTTCCCCGCACCCCCGAATAGCACGGTTGGCTGTGCACGGTGCGCGCAAAAGAAGTTCAACATGCATGCATGCATGCATACGGAAGATCCCCCCACCCCCGCCCCCAACTGCCGCCACGTAGCCTTTTAGGATCGGTGGGAGCAAGAGCTGCAAAATATTTTTTTATTCCACATCCTCCCTCACGTAATACATTGCAACATTGTGACGTTTCCGGGCGGTGATACGAGGACCATCGACAGTATCAGGCACACCGGACTCACTAGAGCAGGGGAGGGGGGAGGGGAGGAAGGGATTTTCTTTGGGGGAGGGGTGGGAGGTTGGACGGTCATTGCCGTTCTGGGTTCAGGTGTTTAAGGGGCAAGAGCTGTGAGCGATGGGTGGGTGGGAGGGTGGCTAGCACCACGCGCGGCCACCTTCGTCTTCCCCCAGTGCTGATGTATGCACATGGCGCCAAGTGCTCATTGAAGACTGAGTCGACCCAAAAGGAAGGCCCAAAGGACCGGTCAAAAGAAAATTGGTCTTGACTTAAAGCTTTCGCGACTGCAGGAATTCATACTCTTTGGGTCAATATTTACTCTTTGGGTCTTTCGGTAAAGTCACGTAGAGTATATATTGGTCTTGAGCGGGAATCGCCATTCAGCAGGCTAAACACTATGCTACCGCTGTGCACTATGTGACTGCACACGTGGGTCAGCGGTTGGGCAAGCAGATATACAACTTGGGTCACCGCGGGGCCATCAGGAATGTGGGTAGAAAGGGGAAACTAAAACTAAACTATTTTTTTTTTTATTTTACCAGCTAAGGCCCCACTGAGCTATGTAGATCTTTTCCAGAAGTGACCTGGCCACACATGATAGCACAACGAAGTGGCTTATTGTGTGGAAATTGATAGCAGCCAAATACTCCATGAGTGCACGTCGATTTTAATTGTAGAGGGAAAAAACCAGAGGACCCGGAGAAAAATCCACGCGACCACGGTAAGAGAGAGAAAACTCCAAATATACAGCAGGCGTCAGGGTCGGGATCGAACCCACCACCTCCTGTATACCAGGCGAGGAAGTTAACATCTCCTAGCCACCTTGGCACCCGAAGGGGAAAGGGGAAATGTGAGTGAGGAGTCCTGTGGTTGGCGGGGGGGCAAGCGGAGATGGGGGACACGCGAAGACAGAAGGGGGACGTAGGCCGTAGAGGTGGGGGGTGGGGGGGCAGGTCAGAGGGTACCAGTGAGTCGGGTCGTTTAAGGGGAGACACGGGGGACATGCAAGGACAGAAGCAGGGGGAGAGGTGTGCGGAGGGGGGGGGGAAAGCGGAGACGGGGACACGCGAAGACAGGAGAGGGACGTGGGTCACAGAGGTCGGGGTATGGGGGGACAGGGGCGGGGGGGAGGCAAGGGGGTACACAGGGCGGGGGGCTGGGGGGGGGGGGAGATCGCTGCTCACTCTGCAAACTCCCCGCAGATCCAGGCGGCGGCCGAGAGGACGTCGGCGAGCCCTCGCTGGGGACCCTCGTCCAGCAGCAGCGCCATCTGCCGCACGGCGAAGGGGCGCACGGCACGCACGCGCACCGCCACGTCCTGCAGCTGCGAGGCGACGCGCGGCCCGTGCCGCGTGCCCTTCAGCCGAGTCAGCTCCACCAGCACGCTCACGTACCTACACACATACACACACACACACCCGCTCACGTACTTAACACACACACGCTCACGTACTTACACACACACGCACACGCTCACGTACCTACACACATACAAGAGAACGTACACACACACACGCTCACGTACTTACACACACACACACGCCCACGTACTTACACGCACACGCTCACGTACCTACACACACACGCTCACGTACTTACACACACACACATGCTCATGTACCTACACAACAACAACAACCGTCATTCGCCACTAAGTGGTGGTGATGTCACCACGGCGCTTGTGGCTGGATATGTGAACGTTGAGGCTACGTGAAGTGTTTGAATGCCCGCTGGCAGGAGGTCACGGGAAAGGCCCGGGTGCCATTCGGTCGTCTGACTGAGATGACTGGCCGAAGCACCACCTGTGCCCATCACTGTGCGTTTTAGCCGCCTGGCGCTTCGCTCGTTTTTGTGAGTGTCGCTCCTTACTGCACGTGCGTGGGCAGGCGGGGGGGGGGGGGTGGGGGGAAGGCGAGGGCGGCGGGGAACTGACCACTCAAAGTTGGTGACGTGCTGATAGTTGGACTGGCTGCAGATGTCGATGATCTTGGTGAGCAGCTCGTCGCGGTAGGTCGTGCCCTCCGCCTTGTCCACGTGAGACATCAGCTTCTTCACGATCTCCATCAGGTTCTTCTTGGAGACCTGCGGCGAGTGGAGAGGGCAGGGAGGGGTGGGGGGGGGGCACGCGGGGGATGCGATCATTGTCGGCCCCAAAACAGAGCAATGACCGGCCAGACAATACGATGGGCGGATGAAGTGGGGGGGGAGGGGTCACAGGTGAGGTCGCCAGGTAATAGTCAAGACAGACCCGACTCTGATGGACTCTCCGAATAATAGCCAGCTAGACGTACCTATCTGGTGGAATCTCTCGACAAAAGACAAACAGACCGGTCTCCGATGGGGTCTCTTAGCTGATGGACTTTGAGGTACCTACTGGTCCTTGATGGAGTGTCCGAACAACGTAAAGACACACCGGTCCCTGATGGGGCCTATTAAACCACAGGTCTCTTGGAGGATCTCAGACCAGTCTCTGATGGGGTCCAGATATAAACAAAGACAAATATCCCCCAGATAGCCTTTGACAGGCGGTTGGAGAAAGTGCTGTTAGTGAGCACCTAAGAAGAGGCTGGCAAGGCACCACGTCTGGTCACCTTTGTCTCCCTAGTGGCGATGGTTACACCTGCAACTAGGTACTCATTTGAGGCCGAGTCGACCTAGGGGAGGCCCGGGAGCAGTTCAGATATTCATTGCTGGTGGCGGGGAGCCGGAGTTGAGCTCGGGATGCAGGATTTGTAGCGCACTGCGCGTTAACCACCACGCTACCGCTCCCTACTGGAACAACAACCGCCATTCGCTACTAAGTGGCGGTGACGTCACCACGGCGCTTGTGCCAGGCTATATGCACTTTAAGGCCATGTGAAGTGTCGAACACTCACTGGTAGGAGGTCAAGGGATAGATCCAGGTGCCATGGGTAGACTGACCGAAATGACTGGCTCCCCACGGCACGCACACACGCACGCACGCACCATGCCGTAGAGCAGGTCCAGGGCACGTAGGCGGATCGACTCGTCCTTGCCGTCCAGGCACTGCAGGATGAGGTCCTTGTGCGGTTGCACGGCCTTGGGGTGCGAGATTAGGATCCTGGACATGGCGAGCAGCCCCAAGTACTTCACTGGCTCAGGGGGGGGGAAAACACAAAGACGGACAAAACCGGTGAGCCCTCGCTCATAATCAGAATATTTATTTATCCTGGAGGAATCTGATGAGCTCTAAAGCTCCTTTTCACAGATGTCCAGTAGGAGCGGATCAGAACGTTACAACAATGAACAATTCAAAAGCACGATAGGCGTGCAAAGTATAGGAAAGGTAAACAAATCACTAATACAAAAATATATACGAAACTAAACTATTTTACGTAGAAGGGAAACAATAAAATAATAAAAATATAAAACAAAAGAACCAAGAATATGAATCCCTGCAGTCACGAAAGCTTTAAGTAAAAATTTAAACGATTTCATTTTAGCAGGTAAAGCTCACCGAGTATTTAGCTTCTTTTTCAGAAGGGACCTGGCCACAAATGATAGCTCAACGAAGTGGCGGCTTATCACGTGAAAATGTATCATAGCAGCCAAATAATCTAAATCATGTAAACGCATATTTCTAAATGTGGAGGGAAACACCGGAAGACCCGGAGAAAAAATCCACGCGACCACAGGGAGAAACATGCAAACTCCAAATAAACAGGCGTCACTGTCGGGATCGAACTCACAACCCTCCTGTATACCAGGCAAGGGAATAAACATCTCGTCACTGAGGAGTCACCACGTCTAAAGGAGTCATCGATTCGGTTTACGAGCGAGAAGAACGACGACTCACAGTTCTGGTCGGAGTCTTCGATGAGAATTCGTAGTTTCTGCACACAGAGCTGAGGGAACGGGGTTATCCGCACACACACACACACTCCGTTAAACAAAGACAAACATCCCCCGTTCGCCTTCAACAGACTGTTTGGGCAAAAGTGCTGTTAGTGAGTAGCACCTATGAAGGTCAGCATGGCACACAAAGGGGATGGGTGGCCAACACCACGCCTGGCGATGTTCACATTGCACCAAGTACTGATTTGAGGCTGAGTCAACCTATGGGAGGCCGAGGACCAGTTCAGATAATCGTCACTGGTGTTGGTGACCCTGTCAAGAAAACAAACACTATTGTTCTCCATAATTGCTCGCGAAAGCCTACGTGTTAAACTGACTATTGTTCTCCCGTTTATTTTGTCACTCGTCGCTATTGTTCTCTCCTTTGTTCTGTATCTTGACGCTATTGTTCTATGTTCTGTATCTTGACGCTAGTGTTCTCTCCTTTGTTCTGTATCGTGTCGCTATTGTTCTCTCGTTTGTTCTGTATCTTGTCGCTATTGTTCTGTATCTTGTCGCTATTGTTCTTGGTTGTTCTGTATCTTGTCGCTATTGTTCTGTATCTTGTCGCTATTGTTCTCTCCTTTGTTCTGTATCTTGACGCTATTGTTCTATGTTCTGTATCTTGACGCTATTGTTCTCTCCTTAGTTCTGTATCGTGTCGCTCTTGTTCTATCCTTTGTTCTGTATCTTGTCGCTATTGTTCTCCTATGTTCTGTATCTTGACGCTATTATTCTCTCCTTTGTTCTGTATCATGTTGCTACTGTTCTCTCGTTTGTTCTGTATCTTTTCGCTATTGTTCTCGTTCGTTCTGTATCGTCGCTATTGTTCTGTATCTTGTCGCTATTGTTCTTGGTTGTTCTGTATCTTGTCGCTATTGTTCTGTATCTTGTCGCTATTGTTCTCTCCTTTGTTCTGTATCTTGACGCTATTGTTCTATGTTCTGTATCTTGACGCTATTGTTCTCTCCTTTGTTCTGTATCGTGTTGCTACTGTTCTCTTGTTTGTTCTGTATCTTGTCGCTATTGTTCTCGTTCGTTCTGTATCATCTCTATAGTTATCGTTTATTAGCCCCCAAAATAACACAATCTAATCATACAATTGAATGTAGATGTAGTGACGTAAATGGAGTCACTATGGCGTTTAGCGCCAGCTACTGTCACAAGAGTGGAACTGTGCGTCTTGAACCTCTCTCTGGTACCAGAGTAGCTATGGCATGCAAGCGGGCCCTAGGGGGCATGGTTCTGGTGATGACCAGAGAGAAGGCAAGTGAGGACGTGACAGTCTGGGTAAACCCGAGAGGGCACGTGACCGAGACAGGGTAGCGAGGGGGCCCAAAGGGTGGCTTGAGGGACACGTGGTGCTCGGTCGAGAACCTTCTGGCGAGATCCAGAAGGGGGCGTTGCCGAAGGCCGAGCGAGGCCACGCTCGGGAACATAAAAGGGAGGTCCCGAGAGCAATCGCGGCTGTCTGCTCAAATGTAACCCATCGGTGCTACGTCTCTTCGATCCTCGGTCTTCGGTCTTTACGCTTGGCATCGTGGGTCAGGCAGTGTGTTAGCCGACTGACCCGGTTATGTAGTTACCCCGTTGTGGTCTAGTTAACGTGTTGTTACGTTTAAGTAGTAGCCCTGTTGGGGCCGTGTAATAAACGTGTTGCCTCCAAGTTCAAGTGTGTGCCTCCGTGGAACCCACTACACAGGCATTGTTTTTAGAGTCTTAGATTACAAGATACAGTGAGTTAGAGTCTCTGAATTACAATTGCAATCCAAAAGTAATTCCTTGCTTTTAAAGGGCCAGGCTATCACATTAGACATATTTTGACACGAAATATGGCTTGGGGAGTCTTGGCTTTAGCAGTGGTGGTTTCATCATCACAGGATGCAGACAGAAGGCATTGAAAGTATGGCATTATGATGGGATAGTGATTAAAAGCGTCGGGATTACAAATGTAATTCAGAAGTAATCCTTTGCTTTCAAACAAATTATGTTATGAAAACTCAACACATTCATAAATAACACTGCAATGGCTCTTCTTCATATCATAATAATTTCTACCAAGGGCCCATTGCACCAAACGTCGTCTTTACGTATTTTTATCCCGTTTAAGGCCGCAGTGCTATTCAGAACCAGAATATTTCTTTATACTGGAGGAATCTGATGAGCTATAAGGCTCTTTTTCACACATGTCCAGTAAGTGTTGATGTTTATTGTTGTTAATTGTGCTTGTACACCACTGCCAACGCAGCAGCAGCGCCATCACCAAATTGTTGAACGGGGAAATGCATCACACCACGGAAGCATTGAACAATGTGAACAAAATACTCCGAAAGTCCAGGATTAAATTAACATTGCATTTTAAGCAATAGCCCTACAATTGCACATGACAGGCACAGTAATCGACCTCTAATGTAGAGAGCGTGCATGCCATAGGAGAATGGTGTACATACCTTGCATCTGGATGTACCGCACTCAAAATAAATGAAAAATATAAAAGAGCAAAGTCACATTTCAAAGGAGGGAAGAAAATGGTCACGGTCTCGAGGTCGAGTCTCAGTCGGAGCGGCACTGAGCGGGGTTAGAGGTCAGGGGCAGGTCAAAGGGGGGTTAATCGTCCAGATTCAAATATATACGAGTGGCCACGTGCGAGGGTCAGAATTAAGATCATTGTGGGGCGGGGGGGGGGTGGGGGTGGTCAAGGGAGGGGTAATGGGAAGTGTTCAGTCCGGGTCAGAGTTCAGATCATTGGGTGGGGGGAGGGGGGTCATGGGAGGGTTTCAGTCCAGGAGGTTATATTTATATGTCAAGGAGGTATTAGGGTCAAGGGGGTCGTCATCATCTTTCCTTTACCTGGATGCTAGCATTGTGGTCCGGGATCCCTGAAGATAAGGAAACGAGAACTGTGGTCATGACACGGAGGGAGGCAAGGAGAGAGCGGGGAAGGGGGGGGGGGGGGCGCGAGCGTTAGTGAGAGACCCCCGCTCCCGTGCCAGCAGCTAGGAGGACAGGAGACGCGCCACGGCTATCGTCCACACACACACACACGTGTGCATGCGTGCGTGCACGCTTGCACACAGGCACGGGGCTAGAGTGGGCCATAGTTCCAGGGAGGCTGGGGGCCTTCCTGCCTGGGCTACTTGGACTGTCTGATTAGCGAAGCTCAGTGGGCTGGGGGGGTCGGGTCGTGTGGCACAAAGTAGTGCCGGCTCTGCGGCATTTTTTATTATTTCGATTACGTTTTTGCTGCTGTGAATTTCCACACAATGATAAGCCACTTCGTTGAGCTATCATTTGTGACGAGGTCACTTCTGAAAAATAAGCGAATAGCTAAGTGGGCTTAGTAAGATTTAAAAAATGTTTAGTTTTATCCTCCGGTATAAATAAATATTCTGATAAGCTGAGAGGGGCATTGTGGGAAATACCCACCATGCCACGAATTTAACTCCGGGGTGGTGGTGGGGGAGGTTACCTGTGGCCCATGGGCTGGATGTGGCCCAGAACTTAATTTAATAAGACCCAAGGCCATCTGAGGCCCTACCTCTTCAAAATGGCCCACAAACGATATTTTTTCACCATTGCAGGCATCTTACCCGCACGAATCAGCTCTTAGAATTGGGAATATTTTCAACCTGACAAACACTGATTTCTAATTTTAGAGCAGTCACACCTCTCACTGCAAGGCTCTCTTGCAGTGCCAGATGTAACCGAGGTGCGTGTGAAAACGCGTGGCACCGCCAAGGTATTTAAAACCCCACTGGGCTTTTAAATACCTTCCAACTCTAGTCTCTGTGTGCGTGGACGATACCGAAGATGCGCCGTGCAATCATTCGACAGATAGAGTTCACACACTCGTCTCGACCACCACATACTCTCGGCCCCAGGTCCGACCGGGCCTAATCAAATGATTTATTTGAGCCCTGCCCAGTAGCGGGCGTCAGCCACTGGTTGCTATCGGGTGTGCAGACTGTGCAACTGCGCCGGCACCTACAGGCCTGGGGGGCGGGGGGATGGGGACTCAGGCACCGGGCTACGAAAAAGGAGAGAAATTTGACCCATTTTTATTCCTTGTACCAGGGCGGCCCGTGCCAAAAATGGGGGGTTAGCCGAACGGTATCCGAATTTCATCCATGGGTCGCGGAATCCCTTTCGTGACCAATTGTACAATGCATGCATTAGGCTGAAGGAAATATGGAAACGATGTGCCGAGCACACGTGTTAGAATTGGGGGTGGGTGGGGGTGATCAGAACGGACCGAGGGAGAATTGGGGTGGTCGGGTGAGTTGCGAAGGCATCTGTTGTTGCACAGAAAGTCTCGAAACGCGAACCGAGCGGCGATTGGCCAGAGAGACCGACAGACATCGTGCACATTTTTTTACGACAGCGACACCGTCACCTTGAATCACCGTGAGCCCAAAGCGCAAAGCCCTGGCTGCGAAGCAAAGCAAAACACTGCTCCAAGTTATAATCGGCCACGCACCCAACACCTAGGACCCCTCTAAGTCGGGACTCACCGAGGCTTTCCGGGACAAATTCGTGACATTATTTTATTGGTGGAGTTATTATCATTACTCTTTTGGAAAAAGAAGAGCAGCGGTCATGCCCTGGTCAAAGCGCTGTGCACCACGGCCAGCATCGGTGGAAAGTGACACCCGAGCAACAGTCTTGGGCTTTTGCCCCTGTCAACAACCCACCCACAATAACCAACGTGGTGAGCTATAGTCAAACAACCTCCTACGACGTGGGTGGGTGGGGGGCCACAGCCATTATGAGCCTGTGCAAGACACCCTGCGCCAGGTATCGAACCCAGGCTCGGAGATGATTGAGCTCAGTGCTCTCAGCAGGAAGCTAAAAATTATAAAGAGAAGCGTGGCAATTTTTTTTGCAGCCAAGCAAGCGCAGTTGGATTTAGAGAAAGGCGAGAGGGAGACAGCCACACGGTCGGACAAACCAAGCGTCGTCAGCAGCCAAAAGAATCGGTGAAGGTTTACGGCAGGGGCAGCAGCAGCAACAACAGCAGCAGCAGCAACTTATATCATGACAGCAACAACGACATTCCTCCAACGTCATTCGCACGTGAATTCACCCTGTGAGCAAGTCCGAATGTTTGTTCATCACGCACTCTTACGAGTCCAGTCCATCGCCAATGCCCCATGTTGGCCGCACAGGGTAAGCTCTTTTGGAATAACGACACCGGTTTTAAGACCGTTGCAAAAAAATAATAACTAGCTCAGACTCGAGGATGGATCCTGAACATCGACCGGTCATTACTGGTAGAGTGGTGCTGCGGTCACGAGGAAGGTCGTGGTGGGGGGGCGGCTGGGAGGTGGGAGGGGTAGGGTGGGGGGATGGTGGGGTCATGGGGTGGGGGGCTGGTGAGAGTGGTGGGGTGGTGGGAGTGCTGTGGTGGTAGGCTGGTGTCGTGGTGGAATGGGGGGCTGTTGGGGTGGTGGAGTGATGGGATGGGGCTGCTGGGGTGGTGGGCGTGGTGGTGAGTGGTGAGGTGGGGGGCTGGTGGGGTAGTGGAACAGAGGGCAGGTGAAGTGGTTGGAGAAGTAGGGTGGTGGGGTGGGTTGTTCACAACAAATCAAATCAACAAAATGAGTACCCCCACATATATAAATGTACCGCAACCCCCCCCCCCCCAACACCACCACCACCACGGGAATGTGGAATTTCCACCAATTACTGAGGATGTCAACGTCGCCAATGCTGGTTTGCTCAGGCAGACTCTGCTGTAACTTACACAGCATTACAATACACAAGCACGTGTCCATTACGTGGCTAGGGCTCTACTGCGCGCTGTCGAAAGCAGCCCTCCACCCCTCCCGTTCTCCCAGCACAGACGCAGCCCCTCAGTTGGGGAAGAGCCCTGGAAGGAGGCATAGCAGGATGTCCCGATACTATTTTTTTTATTTTACCAGACAAGGCCCCACTGAGCTATGTAGATATTTTTTTCCAGAAGCGACCTGGCTATCACAAATGACAGCTCAACAAAAGTGGATTACCGCCGTGTGCAAATTTACAGTAGCATCCAAATACTCGAAACGCGTGATGTTGATTCTAAATGTGGATGGGAAAACCGGAGGACCCAGAGGAAAATCTATGCAAACTCCAAATATGCAGGCGTCAGGGCCGAGACCAAACCCATGACCTCCTGTATTCCAGGCGAGATCATAAACATCTCGCCACCATGGTGCCCCACTGTCTGCATGCCGTCTGTATTCTTTCCGTCGTCACCAATTTCATCCCGATTGTGCTTTTCGGCGTCATGTCAGGAGTCGATAAAGTCGGTTCTCTTGCAGAGCAGTTCAACTATTTGTGGTAGAGAATGGCCCACAGAAGTGGATATCATAGCGCTGCCTCCTGAGATCCTTGCATATGAAAGAGAATTGTTCGTCAAATGGCACTCAATCTTACATTGTTTGATACAGCACCACGATATATTGCATTATTTTTATTGAATAATATTTGCCATCCTAATTCTGTTACTCTAGTCCAGGGGTGGGGAACCTTTTTTCTGCCAAGGGCCATTTGGTTATTTATAACATCATTCGCGGGCCATACAAAATTATCAACTTCAAAATTAGCCTGTTATATTTGGTCAAACATTTAATTAACTCGCCCCTAATGTGATGGCTGGAACTGCTTCTCTTTGGCGAGGCGTGTGATGATGTTAGCTGGTATTGATGATGTTAGCTGGTATTGATGATGTTAGCTGGTATTGATGATGTTAGCTGGTATTGATGATGTTAGCTGGTATTGATGATGTTAGCCGGTATTGACGATGTCGCTACTCGCAACTGCTTTCCCAGGTTTGCTCTCCTAGATTTGTTGAATTTCGAGTCCCACCTGCGGTTGCCTTGGCAGGGCCACACCAAATGATTTCGCGGGCCTCACTCGGCCCGCGGGCCACACTCGGTCCCGTGGGCCGGACGTTCCCCACCCCTGGTCTAGCCAAATGGGGATCTCATCTACAGCTGGGCAGGCAGCTTCAACGAGTGGCTCACTCGCTGTTTGCGCATCTTTAGTAGTCAGGTCTGGACCGAATCCCATTATGTTTCATCGACCGTTATTAATGAGATGAGGGCCCACTGTGATTCTCAATATTTCATTGACAAGGGACACCGTAACTAATATTGTAAAACGTCACTTCATAATATTGCAATTGTAATTACTTTATCGTAACTGTAATCAGAGGACAGCTTTTATAATCACTGTCATGCAATGAGCAGGCATGTGCCGTCCAGCAGATGCAGCATCTCATCTTCAGCACGCGTCGTCCCGTGTTTGTACGCATGTACGTACGGAGAACTTCTTTCGCGCCGTACGTAGCCAACCGTGTTACTCGGGAGGATGCAGAGGAAGGCCAACAACTAAACACAAAAAGCAGCTCTGAAGAAGTGAGTTCTCAATATAGACGATTCAAAAGTGCATAGCTCCAGTGGCTTCATAATATTGGAAGTAAAAAGCGTTCCAGACGGCCGCAGAAGCGCATCTGAAAGCGCGCGATGCGGCGGCGACCGTCTTTTTGTTCGACGGCCAGCCGGCAGCCGCACGTAGCCGGCCGCGCTAATTGGAGGTGGGGGAAGAGAACGGAAATGTGTCTGCCGTACCAGTCCCAGTCGCGTCCGCGGAGCCTGACGGAGAGTTTCGTTTGCCCCGTCCTGCGCTCCACCATCGTCGTGGGCTCCGTGGCCGAGTTTCCCACGTCACTTCGCTACGTGTTTGGTATCTTGCGTGTCCCATGCACCCCCCCCCCCCCCACCGTGCTCCATCCCCCCGATTAACTGTCACGTGCCCCCCCCCTTGCCCCCCCCCCCCGTTTGACGCGTTCTGTTTCTGCCCCCCCCCCCCCTCCCCCCCCCGTGCCTCACCCCACCCCAAAGTGTCACACGTCCACCCCCCTTGCTTTGTGGAGTCATCTACAACATTAACAGTGCTTCGTGTCTCATCTCCCCCCCCCCCACCCCTTGTTTCGTGTGTCCAGCTATCTGTGCCACGGGGGCCCCCTTTGTGCGAGCATTTGTGGCCAGGTCACTTCTGAAATATAAGCTCATAGTTCAGTGGGCTTTACCTGGCAAGATAAAAAAAAAAGTTTAGTTTTATATATATGTAAAATTTTAATTTGTTTACCTTCGCAATACTCTGCACTCCCTATCGTGCTTTGTTTGTTGTTGTTGTAGCGTTCTGACTCGGCCCGGACTGGACATCTGTGAAAATGAGCTTTACAGCTCATCGGATTCCTCCAGTATAGCAGTTCTGATTCCCTGTTCAGCGTCATGTGCACCCCTGATCGCCGTGTCCTGCGCCCTGCTATCTCTACCACGTGTCCTCTCTGTTCAGTGTTCTGTTAACCCTGCTGCCATGTGAGCCCCGCCCCCACCACAACCCACCCCCCCCCCCCCCCCCCCGTCTTATTGCGGTATTATGTGCCGCCCTATTAACCGTGCCCACCACCCCCCCTCCCCACCCCCGCAGCATTCTGTCACCGCGCTGCCGTACCTGCGATGACGGTGTTGACGCACTCGTACAGCAGCGACATTGCCGACGTGCTGCCAACACAGAGATCGGGGGGGGGGGGGGGGGGGCACTCGAGTTAGCAACCGATCAACGCCGAGCACAACGGGTGGTGACGCTAACCGATCTCCCGCCCGTCCACCCCCAGCGCGAACCGGCCTGCGCGGCTGCAAGCCAGGGGGTGGGGGTGCTTTAAGATGGAGGCGCAGCCACGACTGATTGCCGTCCGCGCACCCTACGGCAAAGCAGGGTTCTTCAACTGGAACTCCCCCCCCCGCGGGCAACATCTGATCCGTGCAAGCTCTTGGAGCGGCTCGCCGAGAGATACGGTGTTCAGTTTATTGTCCTTCCCCCAACACCTCCAGATTAGCACGGTTGTCCAAGTGCGGTGCGAAAGAAGTTCAACATACGTACGTACGTATGGCTCGCCGAGACAAACGAAACAAGAGATAGAGAGACGTACGCATGTACGTTGGAACTTCTTTCGAACCGTTACGTAGCCAACCATGCTAATCGGAGATGCGGGGGGGAAGGACAACAAACTAAACACAAAATGAACAAGAGAGAGATAAGAAAGCGCTGTAGACAAGAGATAGACATTAGGAAGACAAGAGATAAATTAAAGTTAGAGATGAGAGTGCAGTGCCACAAGTGATATAATTTAGTGAGAAGCAAGAGAGATGAACAACGGATAGACAAGAAACGACTGTAGTTACGGCTTATCGTTAATGAAAGATAGTGGTCACATGCTCCACGACGTAGTGACATACGATCGCCACTTGGCCTGCCAGTGCAGGCACAGTTTTTTTTTGTTGCGATCCAAATAAAGTTGAAGAACCCCTCTCTCGGATGATGATGTGCGTCCGCGTGCAACGCTCGCTCCGCACGCCTGCTTCGCGCGCGCTGCCCAAATCACCGCTCTTCCTGGCATCGAGTCGCCGGACGTGTCAATTCTGGGTCACCGAGTCGGAGGTCAGGGGTCGGACACCAAATTACGCGCGTGCGTTTGTTGAGCTCCTGCTGCAACGTACGTAGCCAACCGTGCCGATCGGAGGTGCGGGACAAAAACAACTCGATCACGAAATTGGCTTAGCGCCTGTTTAAATGGCTTGGCGCCTGTATTAAATGAGCGTCAATTCAGGGAGACGTTCCACTTACGGTGTTTTGGGGAAAACGGCTGCGGCGTCAGGCGACGCGGTTTTTGCACGTTCCCGCACGCTCTGCTACGAGACCCGTTACGTTTAGCCGCACGGCAGTCAAGCCGGCGTTTTTTTTTCTCCCACTTCTCAAAGAGTCGGACTGCGTAGAAACGACACGGGACACAAACATTTCATGCGGTGGCCTGTTGCTCCGTCACTTGCGACGGGGCCTAAATCAGTCAACTCGCGATCACTTGAGGACCGCCATTGAGTCACGGGTAGCCAAAAACCCAGATTCAAACTCAGCATTCCCAGCAGTGCCAGCTTGGCTATACCTGCGAAGCCGATTTACAATCGCGGGCCGCAGAAACAAACCCAAATTCGAAACCTACAATATCAGCGGTACAAGCTTGCATGTCTCTGACCTCCGAGCAGCGCACCCACTCTGCCAGCCACCTCATTCTATCTAGATTTGAAGTTTTCGTGACTGCAGGGATCCATACTCTTTGGTTCTTTCGGTAAAATCACGTAGCAATCATCATCAGGTGTGGTTTTCCCACCTGATGATGATTGCTTGTGTTGCGATCGAAACGTGGTGAATTATTTTTTTTTTTAAACTTATTTTTGTATACCTACGTGACTAATACCGAAAAAAACCAAAGAGTATAACAGCCACCTCATCTTTTTTTCTGAATCTTTCACGTGTTTTTTTTGTCTCCTAATATTGCTCTTGTGCTTCGGCAGGGCGACCGGAATTTGGAGACTGAGTTTTTTCAGTGAGCAGACTTAAACTAAGCAATTTTATTTATTTATTTTACCAGGTAAGGCCCAGACTGAGCTACATGTAGAGCTCTTCTTCAGAAGTGACCTGGCCACAAACGGATGGCTCAACGGAGCGGCTAATCGCGTGGAAATGTATCGCAGCCAGAAAAAGCTCAAAACGCACGTCTCTAAAAATGTGCAGGGAAACACCGGAGGGGGAGAACATGCAAACTCCAGGGTTGGCATCGAACCCACAACCTCCTGCATACCAGGCGAAGTAGTTAACATCTCCTAGCCACCGCAGGCAGCGAGCGAGCGGGCGGGCGAGATGCTGAGCGCAGTGGCTGTGATTAATGCTAACGACAGCATAAAAGCTGCAACTGCAGCAGCAGCAATGCAGCCTGGTGTAGTAATAATCTCTGGCCGACTAAAACACGACATGGATTTCGCTTAGGCCACCCGATCCAAAATCAATTATGAAACACTGTAAACCACCGTGCCCAAATATAAATAACTAAATAAAAAAAATTTTACTTTTTATTTTACCGGGTAAGGCCCACTGAGATATATAGCTCATTTTTTAGAAGGGACCTGGCCATTACAAATGATAGCTCAACAAAATGACTCATCATTTGGAATAGTTCTAGCAATAGCCAAATACTCCAAACACGTGGATGTTGTTTCTAAACGTGGAGGGAAAAACCGGAGGACCCGAAGAAAAATCCACACGACAAAGGGGGAGAGAGAGAGAGAGACACGCAAACTCCAAATATACAACAGGCGTCAGGGTCGGCATTGAACCCACGATCGTTCTGCATACCAGGCAAGGTAGTTAACATCTGGCCACCGTGGCGCCCCATTACTTAGCTATGCGCGAGCCACCAGAGATTATGGTGCACGTAATGCCCGCAAACAACGCAGGGTCAATTTGTTACGGGATGAAGGCCTCCTCCACCATGCCGCGCCAGTCATGGTTGCCGTTTCGACCATACTTCACCGCGCTGGTCAGTGCACTTTGGGGGTAATGGGGAAACCGGTTAAGATAATGGTCAACACCGATAATAGCTACGGGCCTTCGTTTGAAGTCGGGTTATGCCAGATTACGGTGATTATTTGATTGCCCATGGCGACTTAATCCACCTTGGTGATGAATAAATATTTCATTACATGGCAGGGGGAATGTTTATGAATTCGGCCGGGCAGCACCGCCAGTCACTTCCTGGACGCTGGTCGGCTTGGCCTATCATCATCATCATCACCATCGTCATCATCCCTCCAGTGTCGATCAAATGAGCACCACGTTGCGCTTTCGCGACCAATATCATTAGTTACGAGTGCAGCACACCGGTGTGTTGGAGAGAAAATCCACATTTAAATGTTGTGGATTTGCTCTCCAACACACAACCTGTGTGCTGTACTAGTAACGAATTGACATGTTCCGTTTACGTGACAAACCTTGGCTGTGTCGGGTGGTGGCGGGTTTAACCCAAATAAACCTATATTATGGAAGTCAACAATGTTCGTCTTATGAAGAAACTGCCCCTCCCAATCCCCATATGGTGATGCAATTCTAGTCAATTAAACCCTTTCCTTAGACGTGAGCAAGTTGCAGGATTGGTGTCCCGTTCACCGCCGAATCTCGGAACGGGCAAGCGGTTTTAGCTTTAATTTGATTTAGAAGCGGCGTAGTGCCGTTGTTTTTCAAGACATTGTGCTCACCGCAGAGAACCGTAGCGGCACGACCACACTCTACGATAGCTGGTGCCAAACTGTGCCACACGCCCTTCCACATGGCGTTTTACCGATGACGTAAACATACGTACATGTACGTCATTGGAATTGGAAAGGGTTAATGGCTCAACACATTGTTATCCCCATACCTATACGCTGTGGCCAACCATGGCATCGTAGCTATCAGATACAACGCCGGCGGGTATCGCACAGCCCGAGTACAGTCAACTCTCAATTATCTTGAGTAACGGAGGAAGAGGGGGCAGCTCGGATGACTCGAAGAGCACGGACAATTACAAAACGTTTGCACATTAGGCTATGCGAACATATGTCCTGCACACCTAAAGTAGGACTTCAGGCGAGAAATGTTCTCGTTGCTTTTTTAAAGCGTTCAGTTGCCTTACAGACGTGTTTGCGGTCACGCAGGCACAGCTACAGACCCTCGGTGAGCGAGGAGCAGCCAATAATGAAACCATGCAAGTAAAAAAAACTCAGGCATATTAACCCGCAAGCTCAATAATCTGCCAGTGGATCATCGATAGTTAAACTGTACTGCACATTGGGGGGGGGGGGGGGGGGTGGTAACCATCCGATAGATGGCCACACCAAAGCCCTGCTTGGGCTTGGGAAAGAGGCACGACGGGACCAGGCTGCAAGGGGCCGTGAAGCTCAAGCGACGCGCCACGACGTGGGATAGCACGGCAGGAGGGAGAGACGGAAGGATGAGAGCGTGGTGGAGTAGAGGAGGGGGGGGGGATGCACTACTCACGGACGAATAGAGAGAGGCTCGGGGGGGGGTAATGAGTGAGAGAGAGAGCGGGCGAGTTTCTGCGTCTCAGCAGCATACTCACATTGTCGAGACGCTTTGCCGGCTAATGCAGGCACACACGCACACACACACACGCACGCACACGCATAGGTCCACGGACATACAGGCACGCGCGCACACGCTCGCGCACACGCTCGCGTACATACAGGCACGCGTGTACAAACACGTGTGTACAAACACGCGCAACAAAATCGACCTCAGCGGTAACGAGCGAACAGGGTGGAGGGGAAGGGAGTGTTACAGAGAGACAGCGATCACGACAACAGCAACGAGGAGCGCGCGTGTGCCGCGCATAATATCGGCGAGCACTCAGCGTGCACGTGTTCAACTAAAGGTGTAGGTGTGTGCGTGTGTTGTGGGGAGCGGTGGTGTAGCGGTTAGCGCTACGCTGCGCTACGAATCCGGCGACCCGAGTTCGATTCCAACTCACGGCCAACACCAGTGACGATTATCTGAACCGGTCCCGGGCCTTCTCTAGGTCAACTCAGGCTCAAATGAGTACCTGCTGCGGTGTGTAAACATCGCCACTGGGGAGACAAAGGCGGTCGGGTGTGGTGCTGGCCACCCACCCCCTCGTGTGCCGTGCCAGCCTTCATAGGTGCTTGCTAACAGCATTTGCCCCAACAGTCTGTCCAAGCTATAGGAGGGGATCTTTGTTGTGAGGAGCAGTGGCGCAGGGGTTAGCATGCTGCGCTACGAACCGGACGACCCAAGTTCGATTCCCGTTCACAGTTAACACCAGTGACGATTATTTGAACTGGTCCTCGGCATCCTGTTGGTCGACTCGACCTCAAATGAGTACCTGGTGCGGTATGTAAACATCGCTCACAACAACGAGCGGAGCGACGGGCGCTAAAACATAGCAAATTGGCTCAGTAGAGGGCACAGGTGGTGCATCTGCCAGTCATCTCAGTCAATCAACCCGTGACCTCCTGCCAGCAGCGAGCATTGTACAGTTCACGTGAAGGGCCTAAAAGTGCACCTAGCCTGGCATAAGCGCCGTGGTGATGTTAGTGGCGAACGGCGGTGGTTGTTGTTGTAGGCAGCGGTCTATACCCATCTCGTCTGTGTGCGTGCGGCGTGCGCTGGACATCTGTGAAAAATAGCTTCATAGCTGATCGTATTTCTCCAGGATAAGCTAATAAATCTTATTCTGAACCATGAACAATCTATTTCTTATTCTTGGTTCTTTCGGTAAAGTCACGTAGAAGGGAAACAATAAAATAATACAAATATAAAGCAATAACATTCTCACGACGTTTCGACTGCAACACAAGCAATCAATCATCATACCTGATGATGATTGCTTGTGTTACAGTCGAAACATCATCACACCTGATGATGATTGCTTGTGTTACAGTCGAAACGTCGTGAGAGTTTTATTGTTTTATATTTTTATTATTTTATTGTTTCCCTTCTACGTGACTTTACCGAAAGAACCAAGAATATGAATCCCTGCAGTCACGAAAGCTTTAAATCAAAATCTATTTCTTGATGACAAGTGCCTCCACAAGTTGAGACCATCTCATGGTCCTGCAATGTAAACACAGCCTGTGTCTGTAGCTCCTGTGCACGAGCCGATTTCGACGCTCCCATCTCTTTGGTAGATTTGGTCTTCGCGGTTCTGTTACCTCGGTCGGCTGCCGCTCGCTCAATCGACATTTTCGACCACCAAGCGTCGCCTGCCCAAGCCCACCGACTTTTTTGTCAACAGTCAATGCGACATCTCGAACCCATGGTGCGTTCTCCGATCCACGCGTTCCACATGCTGCTTCTCAGTACGATTCCAAAGCATGCAGCTTGGCGTACATGCAGCTTGGCGTGCATATATTCGTGCATATATTTTTCAAGTGTTGTTTTTTTTTACAACCTCCAGGTCTCAGAAACCATACCTCAAGCGATGTTTCTATATATATTTTTTTTATTTTAACAAACGGCAGATCTCAGAAACCATACGCAAAAGGCCGGTTGAATCAGTGTGGACACAGGTGTCAGTGCGCGCGCACGCGACTGTGCGTCGGTGGGGTATGCACACACAAGCGTGGGGCTGCGCGTTTGCATGCCCCGTCGTGAACGCCACTCACCTGTGAATGAGGTTGGTGAGAGGCTCGATGAGTTTCTTTCCCAGCCGCGGCTCCAGGGGAGTGAGCGACGCAAACTGCAAGCACAGAGAGAACGCAAAACACCAAACAGCCCCCGGGCGTTCATTTCCGGACCGAGTTGACCTACGCGTTGGGGGCGGTCCCCCACCGGATGTCCGTCGTGGGTCCATTCGCAATTGGGGGAAACGAACCCAAAAGCGGAATTAACACGAGTCACTTCAGGAATTCATCTTCTTGGTTCTTTCGGTAAAGTCACGTAGAATGGAAATAAAATAATTAAAATAAATAAAAATAAAATAAAATTCTCACGACGTTTCGGCCACAACACAAGTGGCCTTCTTCAGGTGAAGGTACAGAACTGTCGGGACGACAGCGCTTTGTCGTGGCCGAAACGTCGTGAGAATTTTATTTTATTATGTTTCATTTTTATTATTTTATTTCCATTCTACGTGGTGACTTTACCGAAAGAACCAAGAAGATGAATCCCTGCAGTCACGAAAGCTTTAAATAGAAATTTCACTTCAGGAAGTTTAACACGTAGGCCTTTCGCGACTGATACGATCCACAATAGAGGTTTTTCTGGGTGTGCTGGACTAGTCACGAATTGGCAAAACTTACGAATTGGCTGTGTCGGGTGGTGGCGGGTTTAATGACACATTGATAAATTCACGCAAACTAACCCAACAGAAAAAAAAAAACCTGCACTACGGATGATATTGGTCGCGAAAGCCTACGTGTTCAAGTCGCTACACTACCGATCCCCACAAATTAACCCCCAAACACCAACGTGGCGCGGGGATGGCCTTTACGCAGTTGCAGTCGTTATTTGATAATTATTCCAAGGAGGTAAGGTAGGCGAGCGGCGGTGGAGAGGGGGGATCTCACCAGTTTGATAATCTTAATGAGGACCCAGTTGTTGGTGGACGAGGTCATGAGCTTGAAGAACAGCGGCGCCAGCGAGAGGTAATTCTTTGGGTTCCTCCGCGCCAGCTCACAGATCACGTTCATCGCCGCCGACTGCACGCCTACGCACGCAGGGAGCGGACAGCGCCGCCGAGCCGTCACCGTGGTTACGCGACAGGCGGCGCCGGGCCCCACCACCGTCGCCGGCCCGAACGCAGGGCTCAGTTAATTGAGGGCGGAGGTCGTTGTCTTGAGAGAGGACCGTTTGGGTTCGGCAATTTAAACACGCAGGAGGCTTTCGCGACCGGTATGATTCACAAGCCAAGGTTTTCTCGGGTTAGATCGCGTAAATGTGTGTTGTTAAACCCGCCACCACCCGACACGGCCAACCGGTGTGCTGAAGTAGTAACTAACTGGCAGGTTTTGTTCACGGGACAAACCTTGATAATTGGAGGCGTCGGGTGGTGGTGGGTAAACGACACATTATTGTTTGGGTCGGCATTAAGCATGAAGTTCAATGTTTGGAGTCAGGGGTCGGGGTCAGTCTTACGAGGTTGGGGTGAGGTTTAATTGGCACGGTTGGCTACGTACAACCGCGAAAACAAAGTTCAACATACATGCATACAGTAATAGGTTTTACCCTTTTAACTGCATACAATTCAAGTGACCGGGTCAAGTCTGTGGCGAGATGTTAACTACCTCGCCTGGTATACAGGAGATCATGAGTTCTATCCCGAACATGACGCCTGCTTTATATTTGGAGTTTGCGTGACCTCGCTCCCCGTGGTGGTGTGGATTTTTATCCGGGTCCTCTGGTTTTTTTCCCACCACATTTAGAATCGACATGCGCTGACTGACCATTTGTGGCCAGGTCGCTTCTGAAAAAATAAGAGCTACAGAGCTCAGTAGGCCTTACCTGGTAAAATTAAAAACAGTTTAGATGTGTCAGCTAATATGTCGTGTCTATATGGGGTCGCGGTGCTCCGGGATCGCGAGGGGGTGGGGGGAGGGGGGGGGGTCAAGCCGTGCCTGGGTCTGGGTCCTCCAGTTTCTCCTTGAGACGAGGGAATGCCGGGCGGAGCGACTCGGGGTACTTGAGGAACACCTTGTACATGATGAGCACCGCCTTCTTGCGGATGTACGGGCGCGTCGACGACATCTGCAGCACATCACGCGGAAATCCCCCGTGTGCCCTTACAATCGCACCTCAGATTAGCATGGTTGGCTACGTACGGTGCGAAAGAAGTTCACCGTACACGCATACGTACGTCATCGTCACTAACCTGCTTCCCTTCCTTCCTTAAAACAACCCATCTCTTCTCCCTAGCCCAGGGGTCGGCAACCAACGTAACAAGAGGAGGTTTTTGTTTTTCTAATTCGGTAAAAGACTCAAGAGCCGCCAATGCATGCGAATACGCCACACGTGCGTTTGGAGCAATGTTCTTCACTGCAAGGCCCGCGGGCAACTGGCAGCCCCTGGTGGCCTTTAAGTGCGGCCCCTGACAATACACAAACGTGACAATAACCCCCCATCAACGGGCTGCTGTCAAACCCAATAGTTTCAAATGTGTGGCGGCCCTCACACTGATGTCTTATCGGCGAAGTGGCCCCCCTCCGAAAATTAGAGAAAAAACACCGGTTTAGATTACTTGGCTGCTACTACAACAAGCCACTACATCAAGCCATCATTCATCAATTCTGGGCCCTACCTGGTCAAAAATAAAAACAGTTTAAATAGTTCAAAGTCGGTTCGGGCGTGAGCGAAGATCACAAACATGGCTACCGAGGTCCCAGGGACCTGAACCAAGAAAATCTGGTTTCCGGTTAAGTTGCTCGGATAAAGACATCGGCTCCTGAGAGGGAGACCAGACGCCCGCGCAGCGCCAAGACCGGGACTCTCACCAGGGTCATGATGTCGTTGGCGAGGTCGCGGGCGAGGTCGTGGGTCATGAAGCACGCCATGCCCGTGAGCGCCAGGCCGGCGTCGTACTGATTTTGACTACTCAGGTCCTGCATGACGAGCGAGCGTTACCACACGCACGTTGTTGTCACACACGCGAGACTACACACGCGCAATTGTATTTTCACGCACACGAGATGTGAGCACAATTTAACGAGACCTAAAACAAAGAAGTGACAAACTTGATTTGAAGCTTTCGTGACTGCAGGAATTACTCTTTGGTTCTTTCGGTAAAGTCACGTAGAAATAAAATAAAATAAATAATAGAATACGACGTTTCGATTGCAACACAAGCAACCGTCATCAGGTGTGAATGCAAGCTCGGAGAGACACACAGACACAGAGAGAGAGAGACAAACACAGAGAGACACAGAGAGAGAGAGACACAGAGAGACAGACAAACACAAACACGGGGAGACATACAGAGAGACAAACACAGACACGGAGAAACACACACAGAGAGAGAGACAAACACAGACAAGGAGAGAAACACATACACAGAGAAAGAGACAGAGAGAGACACACATCCAAAGAGAGAGAGACACATACACAGACACACATACAAAGAGAGAGAGACACATACACAGAGAGAGAGACACATACACATAGAGAGAGACACATACACAGAGAGAGACACAAAGAGACACACAGAGACAAACACAGAGGAGAGACACACGTGTGTCTGTCCTCTGCGTGTGTCTCTCTCTCTGTGTTTGTCTCTCTTTCTCTGTATATGTGTCTCTCTATGAGCTTGCATTCACACCTGATCATGGTTGCTTCTGTTGCAATCGAAACGTCGTATTCTATTATTTATTTTATTTCTACGTGACTTTACCGAAAGAACAAAAGAGTAAAGAAATAACAATCGAGTTACTCAATCACATACGTCCTGATTTTAAAGACAGTCACTGCATCGTGCGCTTTTAGATGCGCTTCTGCGGCCGTCTGGAACGCTCTTCCGATATAGCAACTCACTGAAGCTATCCCCCTTTTAAATATAGATTGAAAACGAATTTCTTTAGCACTGCTTTTTGTGTTTAGTTTGTTGTCATTCCCCCCGCACCTCCGATTAGCACGGTTGGCGAGGCATGGTGCAGTTGGCTACGTACAGGACCAGGTAAAGCCCATTGAGCGATAGAACACTTTTTCAGAAGCGACCTGGCTGCAAATGAAAGCTTAACGAAGTGGCTTACCACGTGCACATTGTTAAACATACGAAGGCAAAAGTTGATTGTATTGAGCGTGGCGAGTGATGATTGTATTGAGCGTGGCGAGCGTCACCTTGCGGATCATGTTGGTTGTGAGCATCAGGACGTCGGTGCCCTCGTGGAACGACTGCGATGCCGCCATGTATCCAATGCGCTGAGACATGCAAGCAGCAGAGAGAGAGAGCACGGTGATTACAGCTATGTATTATTACTATAGCTAATGTATACACACATTGTGTGTATACAAAGACAAAGATCCGCCGTGTAGCCTTAATAGGATGCAGGGGCAGATGCTGTGAGCGAGCAGCACCAATGAAGGCCGGCACGGCACACGAGGGGGTGGGTGGCCAGCACCACGTCTGGCCGCCTTTGTCTCCCCAGTGGCGATGTTTACACACCGCACCAGGTACTCATATGCGGCTGAGTCGACCTCGGGGAGGCCCGGTTCAGATAATCGCCACTGGTGTTGGCCGTGATCTCGGGTCTTGCTCTCCACTCACACATGCTCGCACACATAGTATATACACGCACACATTCACATTACACACACAGTATGTACACTCATGCAAACACACACTCTCACCCAGGCCACAAACATACGCTAAGAGGTAAAGGGGCAGCCCTGCAATTTGCTTGCTCAGGCCACTGCTGGCGGAGCACTCGAGGGATGCTCTGGGGAGCCCCTCTACAGCGGCACTGGCTGGTGCAGGCGCTCCCCCGCAAGGCCGTGGAATCGCTCCGCAAAACTGTTGCATGTGTAGTGGCATAGCGCTGGCTGCTGGCGAAAAAGGGGAACTGCGGTGTGCGGCAGAACTCGAGTCAGCAGGCCACGATATATACGAGAGGGGGACATCTAGGGGAAAGGTCACAGAAGGGGCCCATCGGGAAGCCCCGGGAACCCACGAGAATGTTCCAGAAGGGGGGCGTGGCCGGGGCGGAGCAAGGCCACGCTGAGAGTATAAGAGGGGCCCCCCCTGTGCGGAACCTCGTGGTTGTTGCTGGGAGTGGGATCCCCCGTCGTGCTGCTCAAGTCTAGCGTCGTCACCTTCTCGTCGTCATCACCATCTCCTCGTCGTCACCATCTCCTCGTCGTCCTCTCAGTCTTCGTCATCCCGGGGCGCTGCTAGTCAGACAGCCTACCAACTGTTCTAAGTAGTGCTGCCGACAACAGAAGGTCTTAATAATAATAGTGTGCACCCACATAGGGGGTGTGTGTTATCCCGATGGTGCTTGTTAAATAAAGAAGTGGCCCCAAGTCTTACTGTCTCCGAGTTGAGTCACTACACATGCATGTGAGATTTTTTTTCATCATTCACCACGCGCAAATATTTTCACCGCGCCGCAAAAATGCGCTCGGGTTTTGACAGCGACAGTCTGCGGGTCCAGGAATCTTGGGAACCACTGCTCTGCTGTGCTCAAAATAATGACCATGGTAAATGAGTGAGCTATACGCTGAATAATACAGCGAAGAGCTTTACGAAGCCTCCCTCTGCGAGTCTGTGCGTTGAACTTCTTTCGCGACCGTACGTAGCCAACCGTGCTAATCGGAGGTGCGAGACGAGCGGGTGACCTCTGGACCACGACTCCAGGGCACTCACCATTACCCCACGGCAGCGCCTCTCCAGTGTGTACACACGCACACAAGGTGTTTACGACTGCACGGTAATGATTCAGGGCAGCTGCGCCTTCCCTCACCTTGTGCGTGAATTTCGCTGAACTCATGACCTCGATGACGTTGAAGGCTGCCCAGCTGATGTCGTAGCCCTGCATCTGAAGCTGCACGTCATCGACATCACCACCACCATCATCGTTATCAGCATTATCAGGATCAGTAGCGACATCGTGATCAACATCGTGGTCAACATTCGCAGCAGGAATAGCAGCAACATCGGTAGCAGCATCGCCAAGTGTCAGCATCTTGGGCCTCTGAGTAGCGATTGGACATTGACCTGTCATTTTGGAAATTTTATCGCGTTGTAAATTGTTTATTTACTATTATGAACAGCAGGAGTTAGAGCTGCAATGGCAACGCCAACAGCATCATTAACAGCATCACCAGGAGCACGAACATCACCAATATCATCAGCAAGCATCATTATATTATTCAGACCAACGACACAAGACAAATATCTACCATCAAGCCATAGACTCTTGGGAGAAATGCTTCAAATGAGCAACAGTGGAAGGCCGGCACAGTGCACGATCGGGTGATGTGTGGCCAGCATCACGCCAGGCCGCCTTTGTCTTCCCAGTACCGATATGTATAAAACACATCAAGTATGTACTTCGCACAATACATAGCCAACCGTGCTCATTCATCAACCACACCAGGTACTCACTGAAGGCTGAGTTAATTGACCTTGGGGAGATCCTAGAACGGTTCAGCCATCATGTGTCACCGATAGGTTACCCATGGCCAGGTATCAAAAACCAATGTCGCTGGGTTTGCAGCACCATCCTGTGGTTACTTCTCACTCTCTAGAAATTGCAAGTAGGTTTCCCGGAAGGTCATTCTCATCGGGACTGCACGTACAGTTGGGTCTCACCTGTAGCACCACATTCTGTCTCGTTCGCGCGCACAGGATTTAAAATCGATTCCCCCACCACTCGTGGAATTAAATCGATAGCTAACCATCGAATAAAGAGTCACCGCAACGCACGCTTTCACGATACGTTTCTGCCGGTCATCTGGAACACTCTTCCTTGCAAAATGACGAAGCCGCTCTTTAATCTAGATTTAACAATAATTTATTTAAAACTTATTTTTGTGTTTAGTTTGTTGTCCTTCCCCCGCACCTCCGATTAGCACAGTTCGCTAGGTACGGTGTGAAAGAAGTTCAACATACATACAGCGGTGAGTGTGTGGTAGTGAGTGTAGTATAGTAATCAGTGTGAAGGAGCGACTATGTAGTAGTGTGTATTGAGTGTGTAGTAGTGAGTGTATTTAGTGTGTGGTAGTGAGTGTGTAGTAAATTGAAAACTCATTTCTTTAGAACCACACTTTGTGTGTAGTTTGTTGCCCTTCCCCCACACCTTCGATTAGCACGGTTGGCTACGTACGGTGCGAAAGAAGATCAACATACATGCATACATACGTATCGCGAGCGTGGGAACCGGCTGTAACCATAGCCTTGCGCGAGCTCCTTCACGGGGACGGCAGGGACTCACGTAGCTGAGCTTGGCGACTGCGTTGGCCTTGACGGCAATGTTTTCCTGCCTCAGCTCCTGCTTGATCTCCTCGATGCATATTGCTATGTACTTGGGCTGCAAAGACACAGGACAAACATCCGCCATATAGCCTTAACAGACTTTTGGGGCAAACTCTGTTAGCGAGTAGCACCTGTGAAGGCCGGCACGGCACACGAGGGGGTGGGTGGCCGGCACCACGCCCGACCGTCTTTGTCTCCCCTGCATTGATGCTTTTACACACCACACCAGGGTCTCACTTGAGGCCGAGTCGACCTAGGGGAGGGCCCAGAACCTGGTTCAGATAATCGTCACTGGTGTTGGCCATGAGCGGGAAGCGAACTTGGGTCACCGGGTTCATAACGCAGTGCGCTAACCATTGCACTTAGGCTGCATAGACAAAGATCCCCCGTATAGCTTTAACAGACTGTTGAGGGAAGTGGTGGTAGCGAGTAGCAGCACCTATAAAGACCGGCACGGCACACGAGGGGATGGGTGGCCGGTGCAACGCCAGACCGCCTTTGACTCTCCGGCATCGATGATTTTAAACGCCGCACAAGGGTCTCATTTGAGGCCGAGTCGACCTAGGGGAGGGCCCAGAACCTGGTTCAGATAATCGTCACTGGTGTTGACCGTGAGCGGGAAGTTAACTCGGGTCGCTGGGTTCGCAGCGCACTAACCGTTGCACTTGGGCTGTACACACACACACACACACGCGCAAGGCAAAAACACAAGCAAGGTGGCCCGGCGCCTCAAGAGGTCAGAGCGATGAGCGGTCACCACCGAGATCCTGGGTTTCGACTCCAAGCACCGCCTGTGCATATAGTTCCCAACACAAACGCGCATTCGTCTACGACAAGGTATTTAAGGGTGAGAAAAACGTTTGAAGCAATGGCCCTTCTTCATAACACAGGTGCTTCATAGGCTATGAAAGAAGGACCATTGCCCCAAACGTCATCTGTTATCTATGTTTCCTTTCAAGACCACAGTCTTATGCGTCGATGTATTTTGTTATCGTGCTTGCGAGTCACTGCCAAAGCAGCATCGCCAAGAAATCTTCGCGGACAGTTTGACTCTCCCCGGACCTTAAAATCACATAGCGCTATCCCTGTCATGCACGTACATATCTCTCCATACCACAGACATAAACGGGGGTTTATATCAAGGTATTATCCACTATTAAAGAATTATAATTAGACGAGGTGATCGGGTGGAGTCGGAGACGCTGAGCCGGCACTGAGATCCTGTGCGTGAATATGGGCGTCAGCCGTCACCGCACTGCGGTGGCGAGATGTTAACTACCTCGCCTGGTATATAGCTAGTGGGTTTAATCCCGAACCTCACACCCGTTGAATATTTGGAGTTTGCATGTCTCTCTCTCTCTCTCCCCGTGGCCACGTGGATTCTTCTCGAATCCTCCGGTTTTTCCCTCCACATTTAGAATCAACGAGCGTTTGGAATATTTGGCTGCAATACATTTCCACATAAGCCACCTCGTTGAGCTACCATTTGTGTCCAGGTCGCTTTTGAAAAAGAAATACACAGCTCAGTGTGCCTTTACCTGGTGAAATAAAACTAGTTTAGTGTTTAGTTTATTACATTGGGCTCTCAAGTGTAGCGAGAATTGATGGTCTAGGCCCAGTCACCAATAACTGCACGCAAAAAAAGCATCACAATCAATGGTGGTGCTGCTGCCCTAACTTTGACTCACTCTAAATTTAAAACTCATTTGTTTACATCTGCGTTTTTGTATTTAGTTTGTTGTTGTTCCCCCGCACCTCCCATTAGCACGGTTGGCCACATACAGTAGCGAAAGAAGTTCAACATACTTACAGCTGTTGGAATTTAAAATGAAAGGCTAGACCATTATGCTATGAACATTACTATCAGATTTCACTGAAAATGAGCTTCATAGCTCAACGGATTCCTGCAATCTAAATAAAGATTCTGATTCTAAACATAAAGATTCTGATTTAAAGCTTTCGTGACTGCAGTAATTCATATTCTTAGCTCTTTCGGTAAAGTCACGTTGAAGGGAAACAATAAAATAATAAAATATATATATAAATTCTCATGACGTTTCGACGGTCGTCATCAGGTGTGTCGGTTTGCAAACAGACACACCCGATGACGACCGTTTGTGTTATGGTCGAAACGTCGTGAGAATTTGTATTGTTTTATATATATTTTATTATTTTATTGTTTCCCTTCAACGTGACTTTACCGAAAGAGCTAAGATTATAAAGATTCTGATTACTCTCTGTGGCAGGGAAGATGGGTAAGTATTGCCATGTACTACTGCGGGGATTCAGAGGTGCCATGAAGGGATTTGCGAAGAAGTTCTGTAGTATCCGCTTCCAAGGGCTGCACTCCAATATGGAAGGGGATTGCACTGCTCTGCAGATTCTCCATCTCATGGCGTCACACTGTTGTTAACCCATGTGTAATAAATTTAGGAAGGCTAAATATTACACAGTAAAAATATTAAATAATATCGCAATGCTGCATACTAAAAACATTCGATTGTCCTGTGATTGAACCATTCTATAGCATCTATAAGGATCTCAGAGGAAGCTCTATTATATCCGCCTCTGTGGGCCATTCTCTACCGCAAAGAGTTGCACTGCTCTGCAAGATTACCGATTTTCTCGACTCCTGACACGATGCCGAAAAGCACAATCGGGATAAAATTGGTGAAGGCGTAAAAAACAGACAGAGACGTAGTCACAGCATGCACACAATGCAGAGAGTGGGGCGCCACGGTGGCGAAATGTTAACTACCTCACCTGGAATACAGGAGGTCGAGAGTTCGACCCCGACCCCGCATATTTCGGGTGTGCATGACTATCTCCTCGTGGTCGCGTGGATTGTCTCCGGATCGTCCGGTTCTTCCCCTCTACATTTAGAATGAACAAGCGTTGTTGATACATTTGCCTGCTATAAATGTCCACATGATGATAAGCTACGTTGAGCTACCATTTGTGTCCAGGTCGCTTCTGAAAAATAACTATATACGATAGCTCAGTGGGCCTTACCTGCTAAAACAAAAACAGTTTCAGTTTTAAGAGCCACTGAGATGCCCCCCAGGGCACGTGGGGCATTGTGAGACACCCGTGCCACGTTTCCATGAGTACCGTGAAATAAATAAATAAAAACTTTAATTTTTTTATACGACGTCATTCACGTCAATAACATCCCATAACGCTCCCTCTGTGCTTGGACCGGGCTGGATCTGCGAGTTCCTGCAGCGGTCACTACAGCCCAATCCAATCCATGCGTTCCTTTCCGTCTCTCAGTGCGACTGAAACAAAGAGTTCACCTCTCCACGCTTGTTTGCACACACTTGTCAAGTTTGGTTTCCATTTCCTTCGTCCATTTTCTCTGTCTTTTGGATCCGTATGTCGCAGCGGGTAATCCGCACCAATTAACACATTCCTGCGGAGGGAGCTGGTAGGAACGTTGGGTTGCTTGGTCAATGGCCAGGGTCAACGGCGGCACCACCACGTGGTGTATTCCGCAAATATGCCCGACTGGGAGGGCGGGCACAAGCCGGCGTGAGCAGGTTAAACATTGAGTTTTGTAAGGGCACCACGGGGTGACCAGCCCCTCCCCACCCAGCCCCACCCCTCCCACCCCCCATCCAGCCCCTCCCTCCCCACCCAGACCTACCCTCCCCATCCAGCCCCTCCCCACCCAGCCCCTCCCTCCCCACCCTCTCCACCCAGCCCCACCCCTCCCATTTTTGGATGCACGACGAATGGACACAATAATCCCCTGTGGGCTGGTGTAACCAGGAGGTTCCTACCAGTAAAAACGTTTATTCATTGGACAAACACGACAAAAGATCACCTATTATAGATTTGAAGCTTCCGTGACTGCAGGAATCCATACTCTCTGGTTCTTTCGGTAAAGCCACGTAGGTAGAAAAATAAAATATCTTATTTTACCGAAAGAACCAGAGAGTATCACCTATTATAGTCTACTGGGGGCTGTTAGAGCAAGAGCCGTTAGCGAGCACTTACGAAGGCCGGCTCGGCGCACAAGGGGGTGGGGGGGGGGGGTGATCAACACAATGCCGTGGCTACTTTTGTCGTCTCAGCAGTGTTTTCCTGTTAACACACCACACCATTTAAGACTGAGTCGACCTAGGGGAGGCAAAGGACCGTTTAAACCATTTGCCTCCCCTATACGTTAGCAGGGGCCGGGAATTGAACTCGAGATGCTGGGCTCGTGGCGTGGCACGCTAACCACTTAGGCTTATCGCTCCTCAATCTTTCTCCTTTAGACACGCTGCCATAACTGCTTTTCACTATTAAGCACGGGTAATAATTTGCTCGACATTCTATAGATATAATCATCTGTGATTTCACAGACAAGAGTATGAATGTGTGAAGGGCCTGGCAGGCTGGACAGGGTCGAGGGACAAGGAAAACAGTTGTGCGAACGATTCCTTTGAGGTTTTGTCAGCGGCAAGGCGAGACGCATTCTCAGGGGAGCGACAAGCGGACGTCTTTACATCTTTATTCTCGGCCCAGGGAACACGCGCGCGTGTGCACGCAGCAACGGTTCTTATCCGGTTACATGCAGCCCACTCCCCGTGACCACGCCGACATTAATTTGCAATGAGCCAATGAGCCGGGTGCTGCCAAAAAGTTATCTGAATAGCCGGGGAGTGTTGGTGTTTGTCCCTCTGGTAAGTGTCTATTGTTTCCAGTCACTCCAGTTTCCCCACCTTGCAAAACTATGACGGGTGGGGAGGGGGGGGCAAAGATAACAGTGGGCTTGTAACAAATCGACCTCCCAAGGGATAGCCATGAATTGTCATGATTCAGGGATTGCGGGTCCATGTAAAAATTGGATCATATCCGCCTCGATTTAACTACCCCCAATGTATTGCTTCTCATTTCACTCCGCCTCGTTGGTGCAATTTCGTTCACCCCATATTGTTCACAGATATTCTGAATAATGAATCGTCACATACAAGACGAAGCATATATAATAAGATTAGATGTTGATGAAATGATGCAGAATTAAATGTCCACGAAACACCCCAGAGTAGACCCGAGTGAAAATTACAT